TATAATGAGTATAGTTGCTGCTTGGAAGCCAACAGTTGAAGCTTATAGCTATTCGCTTCCTCACTCCCTGTAGTTCTCCAGTCTTGTCAGATATTTGGAGATCAATTCATTCCTTCCAATGCACAAGTGAAGAAGAGAACTGTTTTTCTTGACCCTGCAGCTTGCAAAAGGCAAAGCCAAAAATCTTTTTTTTCAAAAATGTTTTTGAAAAGAGTGTTACCCCAATTTTACATGTATTTGGAATAGATGTGATTGTGACCTACACATTATATAGCACAAGCCAGGAAGCTACCAGAATGAAAGCAAAAGATTTTAGGCATGCCTCAGCATACCTTCTCCCCCTGGCATATCCCTCTGACCCTGTGGCCATCTCCTCTCACTGGTAAATTCTCCCACAACCTCCATTTTGAGGAATGGCCCAAGCCAGCCATCCTTTATTTCTATCTCGTCTCTGATTCTGAGTCAGGATATTCATACCAAGTCCCACACTCATCATCTCCCTTTTATGTATTGTCTTCCTCCATTAGGATGGAAGCTTCTTGAGGGCAGGGACTGTCTATATCATCATAGGTAGTCAACCCAATGTATTGGAGGCTTTCCTTGCTTTCTCTTGATATTATAAGGATCCCAATATAGCATTCTGGCTGTCCATCTGTCATTAATGTCTTGCCCTAGAATCATATGTTAAATTTATATAATGTTATATTTGTATATTTATTCATTCCGTCTGTTGAAATCTTACACATCTTTTTAAGCACAACTAAAATGTCCATCTCCTCTAAGTCAGTAATAGCCCTCACATAGAACTTCACATCTCTCATGCACTTATGTTTTCTCTTGAATTATAGTAATTAGCATAGTCTTTCTCTGATGCCTCTTTGTGTCATGAAGCTATAACTGACATGTTATAACCTGAGTTCTAATTGTTCTGCTCACAGAGAATAAGGAGGCAAAAGAGGATTTGAACTGAGGAGGGATAGAACTAAGTTAACTAAGGAGCAATTATCAATGAAATTGATGAAATTATGATTGTAAAGGTAACTAAAAATGCAAAATAAGCAAATGGATCCTTACATAAAATTTTATAAAATGTTATAGTGAACAAGGCACCCTGGAAGGTATTGAGGAATTAAAGATGAAAAGTGAAACAATCTTTACCCTCAAGGAACTTAAAATGAAGTAGGGAGCTGTGGACTGACCCAGGTATTCAAATAACCATAGAAAAGGTAAGAAAATGATTAAATGCATAGGAAGGATCAAATAAAGTGGCATGGCCTATAAAGAAGTAGAAGAGATCAGAAGGTGCTCTGAAGGAGGTAGCATCTAAGATGGGCCTTGAAAGAAAATTATTTCAATAGATGGAGTTGGAGGGAGTCTATTTCTGGATGAGTAGATGTCATATAAGGAGAGGATGAGAGAAAAAAATTGCAATCAGTCCATTTAGCTGGAGGATATTCATTGGGGAGTATCATGAAATAAAGCCTGAAAAAGTAGGTTGAAGTCAGATTGTGTAATGCTTAGAAGACTACTCAGGAGATTTCATTTTTTTCAAAAATAACAGGGAGCCACAGACTGTTTTTGAGGAGGGTAGCAAATAATAAAGCAGGTAAGTTCGGAACATCTTTGAGAGACTGAAAGCAGGAAAACTTAAGTGACTATTATATGAAGTTGAACCAAGAAGTAATGAGGGCTTGAACTAACGTGGTAGGGATATAAATGGAGGAGTGAGGAAACAGATATTGCAATAGGACATGATGACTGATAGAATGTGGAGGCTGAGGAAAATGATGGCAGTAAGGAAGACTTAGAGATTTTGAATCTAGGACACCAGGAGGAGAAAAGTTAAGAGAGGAAGAGAGATAATGAATTCTGCTGTAGACATATTGAGCTTCAGTTGTCAATAAGGAGCTCATGTGTAGCTTTCCAGGAGGCAGTTGGAAATGGAAATCCAGGTTAGAGGTCAGTGATATAGATGTAGTCTTGAAAACAATCTGTATAGAGTTGATAATTGAAGCAATGGAAGTGGATGAAGTCAAGGGAGGGGGTGTGGCCAGAGAAGAGAAATCCAAGGATAGAGCTTTGTGGAAGGTGAAGGAGAGATTGACTATGGTAGTTCAAGGAAGATGAACCAGTATTGCTCAGAGGTAAGAAGAAGAAAATAGGATAGGGAAGTGTCAGGGAAGCCAAAGGACAGAAGAGCATTAATTATGAAGAACGTATCAATGGTAGCAAATGATTCAGGAAGTTCAAGGCTGAATTTCACATCTTTGTTATGCTTGCTAGAAGGTAGATTTCATGTATAAAAAAAAAAAATGAATAATGTTGTGACATCAGTTAATATCCAGAGTACAAATACAGACAAATCTTGTTGAAATTTTGCATACTCTTCCAAAATCAGGGAACAAGAAATTAAGTCAGTAGTATTGGAAAAGCTCCATTCATGGATTCATTTCTCTCAAGAAAAAAGTTACAAGAATTTGAGGTTCTTGGATATTTGGTGTGAAATTAATATTAACTCTTTCTTGGAAATGACTTAAGGAAATACTTATTGAAGAAAAAAATCAATCCATGTTTTTGAAATGTTTTCAATTGTTACATATAAAAGACTGTAACATTTATTTTAGCTTTAGTTACTTATGTACCAAATAAGACAATCAGAGTGTTAAGGCCAAAGTGGACTGTTTATTCCAACCCTTTATTTTTAAGGAGTAAATTAAGGTGTAAGGAAGTTAAAGGACTTCCTTGATTTCTCATGCAATTACTATTTGGCAGAGTATTAATATTTGGTTTCTTGGAAACCAAATTATATTTATTCAAATTATGTAAGTTCACATGATACTAAAGCAACTATTTAGTTTAGTGATGGAAAAATCTGACTATACTGTTAGCATGCAATAGATGGAATAATCAACTAGGTTAAATTTTCACTATTAAATCAATGGTTTTAATAGTGTTTCAGACTTATCCAGTATATGAAAATTATTTGAATGTTGTCAGCTTTCTATCATATTAAACATAAGCCAGAATTTTTCCAGAAAGATGCTAATCAGTAATAGTTGGTATGCCTTGCTAATCCTATTTAACGATACAAATTACTGTGATCAAATGATTAGGGATGCACATTTTAGATTATTTACTGAGACAATTCCCACTACTCAGCTTTATTAATAGGGGATAACTTAATAAATTGTGAAGCAGATTGCTTTCCTTTTGCTCTCTCTTGCTAGTAAGAATCAAGGCACAGTGGAAAGGGAACACTGATCTTGGACTCAGAAAACTTGAGGTCAAATTCTGGCTCTGTCATTTACTAGCTGTGTAATGAGATCACAAGTTTTTAGAGCTGAAAGAGATTTGGTCTAACCTTCCCATTTTGCAGATGAGGAAATTGGGGTCCAGAATTTGTACGTGAAGGAGCCAAGATTCAAGTTCAGGTTTTCTGACCCAGACTCTAGCACTTTTTTTGCTCCTATATCATTTTACCCCTCTGGACTTTGTTTTCCCACCTATAACATGAGAGGTTTGTACTAGGTGGCCTCCAAAATCCCATTCATCTCTAGAAAACTATAATTCTATGTTATAATCCAATTTGAAGCACTTGCCTTTTTTGATTCATTGCATATCTTTTATAAGTGTGATCTTAGCTAGAGAAATCAAGATCAGATGTTTTGGGGCTAATTTTAAACAAATAAGTCTAGGATAGGTCACAAAGCCAGATGAATGGTTGTGGCAAATCTAAAAAAATATATATGTTTTGGTATATCTTAGTGTATTGTATGGTGTTTGTACATTCAGTTTTAGTGAAGTGGGCTTGGTGAATTCAACTCCTCTTCTTTCCTCCACCCTCAATTTATTCCATTTTCACCAGCATTGTTTTAGCCATCTTTAGTATATTATTGGAAGAGGATAAAAGGTCCATTTAGCAGCTGCAAAAAATATATTTCTTTTAATTGTTTCACCAAACACTAAAGGGAAATAAAATATTTCAATGATATACAAAAAGAATATCAAAAGACTAGCTTTGCTATAAAAGTATTTACATGTTAATATGATTTATTATTTTTTTTCAAAGCAGGGAGTCTGCTGCATCTGGTCCTTTTCTACAATGAGTTTCAAGTCTGACAAAATTATTTCTTTTGATCTACTTGGATACCATATAATAAAAGAACAATAAAACACATGGCTCAATTACTATGGCTTCTCATGGAGTGTGAATTAATGAACACAGAATTATTATTTATTCTCTCTCAGGCTCCTCCTTCTTCCACAAGACAACTCTTTTGAGGCCAGGCTCCTGTATAGAGTAGTACGTGTGACGATACCTCCCATAACCTAAAAGGATGAGCTATTGAATTGGTCAGTTGTGCCAGTTTTCTAAGATAGCTTTTGAGTTTCTCTAGCTCAGTTCTCCATGACTACCCTGACCTTTCCTTAGAATTCCCTAAAAGTTCAAACTTTCTTATTTTAACAAATATTCATTGTAAGTATGAAAACAAATTTTTAAATGTTCTCTTTTTGGATTTCAACCTGAGCACTTTCGAATGCTTACACAATAGCTACATTGCAAATAAAAACTAGAGCCCAGACACACTGAAAAAAACTGATAAGTAAAACATTGGTCACACCACATGAGACCACACACCTAGCTCACCAGAATTTTCTCCTTCTTCATCTCTGCATCCTCATCTCCCTGGCTTCCTTCAAATCCCAGCTAAAATCCACTTTCTACAGGAAGCCTTTCTAGATCTCCCTTAATGCTAATACTTTCCTTCTGTTGATTTTCTCTAATTTATCTTGCATATATTATGTTTATACATAATTGCATATTGTCTCCCTCATTTGATGGTGAGCTTCTTGAGAGCAGGAACTATCTATCTTTTGCCTTTCTTTGTATCCCTGGAACGTAGCATAGAGTCTGGCAGAAGCTTAATAAATATTTACTGATTGACTCACTCACAAAATCAGTAAATTACTCCATTGGTAAATGAAGCTGATTATCACACTCAAAAAAAAAAGATTTATTGTTAACAGGCATTTCAATTTATTTTTATAATCCATTTGCAGATACAAAGTGCTGTGCAATATGAATATAAGTGCTACACCAAAGAAAGTGTTCTGATAATCCAAAACCATTGTCATTGAATGCCTGCTTAACTAGATTTTGAAAAGCATGCAAAGAAAAATATAACAAAAGTACTACCTATATAGTATACATATAGTATGATTTTATCACTCACCCACAAATCTATTCCCTTTGGTTCTTAAAACAGCCTATAAAAATAATATCCTTGATAAAATAGGCTACCAAGATAATGTTTCTTTAGATTTTTGATAAATACAAAATCATAGGTCCTTCTTAACTTTAAAGTAAAAAATTGCCCTCTATTTTAAACCTTGCCGCCATGTTATTGTCAAAAATTAGCCATCAAGAATCTTTGTTGTAGATGTCATCTGGACATGGGCTAGGCAGATGTCTTCCTTTCATGGGATACTTATTAAAATGTCCTTTAATTCACATCAATGATACAAAGAGGATGACACATTCACTGAAGGGCTGAGAAAATAAAGATGGGCAAATTAAAAACAAAGCAATAGGCCCCCACAAAAAATATTAAAATAAAAACTTTGACTCAGCCTGAAAGGGAAGTGCCCTCCTTAACTCTGTCAACACTCATTGCCATCAGAGGCATCATCGCTGTTGCACTGGTCATTTTGGGCAAGGCTGGGGAAAATGATGCTGACTAGTTCAATTTTTGATCTCTAAATCCATGTAAAATGGAATTGTTCCCTTCCTGTAACTAACATTATCATATGCATTGACTATTTGATTCATAGCAGAATTAGCATTTTGCACAAGATTCTTTTAATCTTCAGTAAGAAAGCTTAAAACTATTGTTAACCAAAAAACTTTCCTTAAAGAACTAAATGTTCTCAATAAATGGCATTCATCTTGGTTTCCACATGTCAGAATCACAGAATCCACTTGGCTAAAAGTAAAAAGAAAACAACAATTAGATATATTGAATTCATTATAATTCTCTGTGTGCCTATAATTCAAAGGCAAACACATTAATGCATTATGGGAACATATCGACACTAGAAACACATCCTCTACCATATGGCTTTTAATCCTGTGTACAGCCAGCCTTCTGAACTTATAATTCTGAGTTTGGAAAGGGAAGGATGAAAAAAATTAGCACTTCTGGCTCTTTGAGGAAGGCTGGGAGTCAGGAAGACCCGAGTTCAAATCCAGCCTCAAATATTTATTAGCTGTATGACCATGGGCAAGTCACTTAGCCTCTGCTTAGTTTCTTCAGCTATAAAATGGGGATAGTAGTAACACCCACTACTAGGGTTGTTTTGAGGAGCAAATGAGATATTTATAAAGCATTTAGCACAGTACATGACACATAGTACATACTTAATAAATGCTTGTTTCCTTCCTTTGAGGAACTACAGGTTCTGGAACAATAAAATACATGCTTATTGGGGAATCAGAGATTTACATCTTGGAGGGCATTCAGTGGACAACATTAGGAAGTAAATTAAATATGGCTGGGAAAAGGATGTGAAGTAGGGGAAAACTTGAGCAGGATTTCTTCCTTTCTTGAGGTAAATTTTGATAGCTTGCTAAACTGTGTTCTAACTTTTTAACAAACTCAATCCAGGCCTCTCACACTTAGGTTAGTCTAGATGTTAGTGACCTATGGTCCTTTGGATAAAGTTAGGTTCCCTAATCTAGATTCTTTGTAGGAATCAAGTGAATTACTGTTTGACATGCCATCAGCAAAGAAAGAGAGAAACTCCATTGGAAAAAATGTCTTTTACACTGTATTGTTATCTGGTTTCTAACTCCTTTGTACCTCTCCCTTATTAACTAAATATAAAAATAGAAAGCTGATATTGAATTTCAAAGATGTACCTTATCTCATGGAATTTTATTACAATAATGTTTCTGCATGGCAAATGTCTTTAAAACTGCTTCCCAACTCTTCATGATCTCTATGGTAAAAAATAGGGGGCCCTTTCACATAATTTATGTACATAAGGATAGGGCTTGGGATACGAATTGGACCTGTGTTTACATTGGCATAGGAAACTCCCAAAAGGCATGAATATAGGTTTCATCAAACTCCAAACCAACTCTGCCTCACATAAATCCAATTCAGGCTCAAGTCAAGACATTGTGATGCCATTGGTCTTCTTTGAAAACAACATAGGAAACTCCTAAGTGAGGAAATTCCCTCTATCAATGCTTGTCAGTACCTTCTCTCTAATTTATAGTCTTTGAGAGTTGCCTAAAGGACTGAGAAGTTAAGCTGCTTACCCAGGGCCACACAACCAACTAGTTAGAGGTGGGATTTAGATCCTGGTCTTCCTCCTCTGAGGTTGACACTCTCATTTAATAAGCTATGGTACCATGGAGTTTTGAACTTATGAAACATAGATTCTAGGGTTCTCAGAGTTTCTTTAGTCCAAGCAACATCAGAGACAAAAAAAACCAATGTATGCCCAGAAAATAAAGAAAATGGCCTCTTGTATTTGCACTTGTATATATTTCTAGTGTAGTTCAGTTATTGACTTATTGAAAGTCCCTCCTTTCTTTGACATGTGTTTTGTTTGCTTTTGAGACTCAGTCTGTCTCCTTTATTTTGCTGAAGCTGACAGTACAGCCTCTACTGACGGGCCTGACCCCACTGCTGATCAAGAAAGAAGCTTTGACTCTTTTTATTTCTGACATGAGCTAGTTTGCCCCTTCCTAGGCAGCCTGGGGACCCCTCACTCCTAGAGGCTCACCATATTGGTACTAGGCTTAGTGCAGACACCTGATATGCTTTAGACCTACTATATCTCAGAACTCCTGAACTCAAGCTATCCACCAGCCTCAGCCTCCCTCAGTAGCAGGGATTACAGGTTTCTGCTACCACCTCTGGCTAACAAGTACTTATTCAGCCTCATCTTGAATACCTCTAGTTAAGCGAACCTATCACCTTCTAGTTCAGTTTATTCAATTTTTTTGGATAGTTCTACATTCTTAGGAATTTTCTTCCACACATTGAAGTGAAACTTTCTCCCTATAAATTCTACTCACTGGTCCTACATCTGACCTCTGGGGCCAAATAGAACAAGTATAATCATTCTTCCATATGATAACTCTTCAAATAATTGGCTATAAAGAGATCACTTATGAAGAGACAAATACTATAATAACAATTTAATATTGCATTAACTTCATGATCCTTTTAATAATGTTAAAAAGCACTTTGGTAGTAACTGAACCTATTCTTCCTGCTGCTGGAGAGACCCAGGGTGGCAGATCATTTGAACATAGGTGTTCTAAGCTACAGTGAACTAAGACAATCAAGTGTTTGCACCAAGTCTTGGCACCAATGTGGTGAGCCCCCAGGAGAGATAAATTAGCTTAGGTTGAAATAAGCAGGCCAAATTTCCTGTGTAGATAAAGAGGAGTCTTAGCCCCCTGAGTTGTCACTGAAGTTCCAGCTCAGATGAAATAGAAAGTCCTAGGTTCAATCAACCAGTCAGTCTATAATTGCCCTATACCAGAGGTATACAGAAATGCAAATATAGGAAGTCATTTCCTGCCATTCTCATTGACTGTAGGGTCAATGAATGATGCAAAGAAGAATTTGAGAGTAGAACTTCCATATCTTTCTGTGATAATGAGCTAATGAAGGAAAAGCTATTATAGGCAATAAATTGCATGTTTTACAATGTTTGATATTGAAAACTGGTAAGCATTTTAACTATTTTTTACAATATAAGCTAGAGTACTAAAGCTATCTACTTAAGGTATGAGATGATCCCTATAATAAATTTGCCTAAATGTCTGTACTAATAATATTTAGCAAAAAATAATATGAAATACCATTATAATAACTTAATTCATGGCATTATAAATGCCCCACCCCCAAAGATCTTTCAATGTTTACAAAGATGTCAGTGGATTACAAAGCTTGGCACATACCTACAACCTTGGAGTAGCAAGGCTCACAGTGTACAGTATGTTTATAGATCCAAATGCTATCACCAGCTTCCAGGTTTTCCAAAGGCTTTTTGCAAATTTCACACTAAAGAAAAACAAAGAAAATTAAAAATGCAAAAGCTCCTATTGAATAAGAAAACCAATTTCTGTCTCCCATAAAGTGAGATATCAGGACCTATGTAGCCATTTGGAGTTCTTATTTAGCTCATAGACAGGCAGGTATAAAAGCAGAATTGGGCTACTACTTTGTTAGCCATAAAAACTGAAAAGAGTCACTTAAAATTAATGAATTGAATTTACCAAAAAATACATTTATTTAGCACCTACTAATGCAAGACACTTGGTTCAGTCATCGGTATACAAAAGTAGCAGAAGACAGACAGTTTCTGCCTTCAAAGATCTTGCAATCTAATGTAAAACATACACATACATATAGGTATGATGCAAAGTAGAGTTGATGAGAGTAAAGGAGAGGTTCAGACAAAGTTTTCTAGAAAAATATATGAAAAGAATAATCATTTTTAGCTAGAGGAGAATCAGGGGAAGCTTCATGGAAAAAGTGGTGCCTGAGCAGGAACTTAGCTCTGTTGAAAGAAGAATTTCAACCAGTGGAGTTGTGGAAGAAATACATTCCAGACCTTCTTCTCCTACTCAAATGCAGGAAATGATAAAATTAGATTGTGAAACAAGTAGCAGTGTAGTTTGGCAACAATGTAGAGTAGACAAAGAGAAGGAGTGTGAAATTAAGCTATAAAGATAGATTGGAACTAGACTGCAGTAGGTCTTAAATGTTAGACTGAAAAGTTGCCATTTGTCTAATAGGCAATAGGGAACCAGGACAGTGATATGGAGCGAGTTATGGTTTAGGAAGATTATTTGGATGATTGTTAAGGAGAATGGTTTAGAAAGTAGGGGAAAATAGAAAGTAGAGGAACAAAGAGTAGGTAAGAAACTATTGTAGTTGTCCAGGTAAGCAGCAACGGCCTTACGTTGGGTGGTAACAAAGTGAATGCAAATGCTAAGAGAAATGCAAGAGATATTTCAGACCCTGACAGCACAAGATATGACAACTGATTAGATGTGAGCATCAAAAATAACTTTGAGACCCAGCAATACCACTTCCATGTCTGTATCCCAAAGAGATCACAAAAATGTGAAAAGGACCCACATGTACAAAAAGATTTATAGCAGCTCTTTTTGTGGTGGCAAAGAATTGAAAATTGAGGGGATGCCCATCAATTGCGGAATGGCTGAGCAAGTTGTAGTATATGAATGCAATGGAATACTATTGTGCTATATGAAATTATGAGCAGGCAGACTTGAGAAAAACCTGGAAAGACTTATATGAACTGATGCTGAGTGAAATAAGCAGAACCAGGAGAACATTGTACATAGTAACAGCCACATTGTGTGATAACTAACTTTGATAGACTTAGCTCTTCTCAGCAATGCAAAGATCTAAGACAACTCCAAAAGACTCATGGTGGAAAATGCTATCCACACCCAGAAAAAGAACCATGGACTCTGAATGCAGATGGAAGCATACTATTTGCTCTCCTTTTCTTTTGTTGTTTTGTTTCATTTCTGCTTTCTTGTGGTTCCTCACATTAGTTCTAATTCTTCTATACATCATGACTAATGTGAAAGTGTGCTTAATATGAATGTATAAGTAGAGCCTGTATCAGATTTTATGCCATTTGGGGAGCTGGGAGGAGAGAGGGGAGAAAATTTAAAACTCAAAATCTTATGAAAGTGAATGCTGACAACTAAAAATAAATAAATTATTTTTTAAAACTAGTGAAAAAAATAAAGACATGATCTCTTGAAAAAAAAATAACTTTGGGATTTTAAGCCTGGGTGACTGGTAGAATGGTTGTACTGTCAACAAAAAAAAGAAACTTGGGTGGAAGGGCAAGTTTGAGGGGGGAAATGATAAGTTCATTTAAGACATGCTGAGTTTGAGGTACCAACAGGACATCCAGACAAAAAAGGTCCAATACGTAGTTGCACACACATTACTACAGCTCAGAGAAAGCATGGGGCTAGGTACCTATCTATCTACATCTGTCTATATGTATCATGCCACTGAGATAGATAGACGGATAAATAAATGAAACTATGGGAAAAGGTGAAATCTCTAACACAGCAAGAAGAGAAGAAAGTCAAGAACATGACCTAGAAAATACCTACATTTAGTGGATGGGAAAAGGAATATCAATCAGCAAAGAATAAGCAATAATACATGGGTAGGGTAAGAGAAGAATGAGGAAAATAAATGTCTGGAAGAAAAATGAGAACAAATATTAAAAAAAGATGATGTGATCAAGAGTATCAAATGCTATAGAAGGGTCAAGGAGGAGGAAGACTGAGGAAAGGTTTTGGCAATTAAGAAGCAATTGGTGACTTTGGAGATTGCTGACTTTTTAAAGTAGAGTGGTAGGGACCAAAGTCAGATTTCATGAAATTCAGGAGAGAATAATTACTGAGAAAATGAAGACAGCAAATGTAGACTACTATTTCCAGAAGTTTAATAGTGAGGTAAAATTAAAAATAAGACAGTAGCTTGGTGACAGTCAAGTGAAGGTATCACTCTTTTTTTTTATAATAGGGAAGATCTAAGTAGGTTGGGGAGGTGGAAGAAAATAAAAGATTAAAGATGGAAAAGAGAAAGAGAGAGATAAAGGGTAGGGGAAAGATGGAAAGAGAATGAAAAAGAGGGAAACAGAAGAAGAGGGAATGAGAGAGAAAATAGAATGGAAGAGTAAAAGAGAGAAGAGGTAGAGAAAGAAGAAAAGAGGGAGGGTCAGAGAAAAGGGAAAGAGGGAGAAAGAAAACAAAAGAAAGATAAAGAACAGAAAGAAGGAAGGAGATGGGAGGAACTTAAAAAGGGAGGGAAAGGGAGAAGAGAATAGGGAAGGGAAGAGAGGGAAAAAGGAGAGTGAATAAAAGGGAGGAGGAGAGAGAGGAGGAAGAAAGGAGGGAGAACTGGGAAAGAAAAGGGGAGAGGAATGAAGCCAGATTGTGGAGGAGTCAGGAGACAATGAGGTTATGTGTATAAAAGCAGAGGTTAATCTTGCAAAAAGGAAGGTCGCTATTATCTGAGACTGAGAATGGAAAAAAAAAAACATACTCAAGAACACAGAGAGATTCTAAGTTGTAGGCGAGAGATAAGGAGGCTCACAATAGATGGACTTAGTCTCATTAAAGTAGTAAGTGAGAGAAGAGGTTGGGGCTCAAGGAAGGAAGGAAAGGTGTGAAACAGCTGCTATAGGGAGAGTGGCGGCATAAATGAGATAATTTGTACATGATACTTCCATATGGACAAGTATAGAGTAAATACTGTAACAGGGGGAGCATTATTCCTTTCAATAAAATGTAACAATTTTACGGGGAACTTTTCAAATTATACCAACTGTGTAGTCTTCACATTCCATTGTACAAACTGCCAGGGGGAAGCTTTTCTCTAATGTTAACATAATATCATGTATATATAGTATATCAATGTCTTTCATGTTTGCAAATGAGGCTGAATCCAGTGCTATCCATTTATACGGATACATCTCAAAAGACTAATGGAAGACCAGCAGGCCTTTCTACACTATAAACATGTCAAGATCACCCCTAGATTTGTAGCCCTAGCTACTAAGTGTATGGTTTGTTGCTATCCATGACTGTGTTTCTAAGCCACGTGGTCTACCAGTATTTTGGCTCCTACTCAGCTTCTCTATTTCTGCTTGTTGTGGGAAGAGAAACTTATCTGCCAGCCTTTGACTATGAGATATATCAAAACCCAGTGCATTAGGAGGTAATTAGGTGACAGGTCATTGAGGACCACTCCTACATGGATGCCTTGAGTTAGGCAACTAATTATAATTAATTATGCTGTTGGAATCAGGCTGCTGGAAAAGAATCTTCTGTAATAATCTCTGGGGTTAACGATCCACTGACTGTTTTTCCAAGAGCCCCAATGACATTTTATGGTTACACTGCTGAATATGAAATTTTAAATTTGTATGTAGTTCCTTTTCTATACTTTTGTCATTTTTTGAATATCACAATTATTATGATTCATTAAAACTTTGGAGTAAATTTTATAAATTCATCTGTTGTACACTGACCACATTTCTACAGAACTGAAAAGAGCCAGGAACTGTCAAATGTCAAATATACATTATTAATTGTTTCCAAGGATATTGCAAAGCCAATACCCACAAATCTTTGACAGCACTGAAGAGCATATTTAAACAATGTATTATTAATGAAGACAATAGTGGGGGTCTATAAAGCATTACTTCCCTTATGCGTTTTTCAAAAAGCAATTATTTTTATGTTATATATTCAACCAGATCGTGCTTTATATCTCACCTACTCATCCAGTCACCTACCAGGGCCCATTTTTTCATGTGCTCAGTTGTTATGTTTGTTACCACTTAAAACTGCATCCTTTAGACCCAATTTGTAGAAATCATATCCCTAGGCCCTGGGGCAGTTAATCCATTCAGCTTTGAAATTCCTGCCCAAGGATGTGATGAGGAATTTCTCCTTAGTGAGGTGATGATGGGTAAAGGAGTACCAACTCACCAACTCAGCCAGCCCTAGATCATTCCACTCTTTACACTCCATCCAGTCAACCACCTGGGTCATCTTGCCATCTGCTCTACCATTAAAGACCCATCTATCTCCTCTCCCCATGTTAAATTTCCTGCTCTAGGCACAGTCATCAAATCAATACTAACATTGTTTTCTGGAAGAGGTATGTCAACCAGCTGCCCAATGGATTGACTTGCTGTCCCTGCGACTCGTCAGAGTAAACTCTCTCTCTCCCTCACCATCATTCATCTGTATATGTTGTCTTTCTCCACCCAGCCACCAGCCTTAGAATAGAAGCTCTGTGAAGGCAGGGATTGTTTCACTTTTGTATTGGTATTCCCATTGCTCATTTAATACAGTAATCACTTAACATGAGCTTTTTCATTTACTTCTTGATTATTCATTGGTATGTAAGCTCATATTCCAAAAAAAAAAAAAAGAAGCACTTCTTACTTTGAAGCAAGTTGAATGACAGCAAATCTGTAACTCATCCAAGATCATTTTGGTCTTTGAGCCCAGGGGCTTTCGGCAATAGGTACACATATCCTTTTCAATGACAGACCTGTGCAAGCATGAACAATTATATAAATGTGAGAATCTCCATCTTTTAAATGACAGGTTCATACATTGCACTGACAGTCACCTTTACAAATATATGGTAATGATGTGATGAAATGTTAGCCATGTTATTTTGAGAAACTTTGCAGTCCAGAATTTGCCAGTATGAATGCTCCAGACCACCTGCTACTATTATATTATCTCATTGACTTGCTAATTACTTAAAAATGATGGCAATGGAATAATATGAGGGAAAATCATACCTTAAGAATTCAGGAGTGGCAAAGAGGGCACATAGAACAGAAAACAAGAGGTTCACCTTTTGATAATAACACCAGGAGAAATTGCATGATAGAGGCTAGTTTGGAGCAAATCAAATGGCTCCATACTACATGTTGTAACCTTATGAATCTTGTAATTCTCAAAAAATTGAGCAAACCAAAAAGAGAAACACTTTCAAGAGGATTTTGATGTAAACAAAAAGGCTTGAAGTCCTTAAAAGGCCATTAAAGGAAAAACTTGGATATTTGGGTAAATTCTTAATTTTGAGAAATATAGCAATGAGAGAAACAAGCACCTTTCAATATACCTCCCTTGATGCTATTGGTAAGAGTACCAGAAATGGATGAACTGTTGTTCTGAATGAACATGGCAGGTATTAACTTTTTATGTACCCAGAAAGGATACAATTTTTCTATGCATTCAGGCACACAGCCAGAAACTCGACATTAATTTTGTATGTGTAGTTACATATTTTTCTGGGTTTATATATGCAATCATACCCCAATAGATTGCAAGCACTTAAAGGTAGGGAAGCAGGATTATTATTTCTTTTATAATTCTCCATAGTACCTATGACACATAGTGAGCGAGCACTAATACTGTTTAATGGTAAAAAGGCTGAACACCCACATGGGGCATAGGTAAATAAGGAGAATCGCCAAGCACTTTGCAAAATTAAGAGAAAGCTACTTAGTATATTAATAGGAACACTCTTATGGGCAGAGGCTGTATCCAGCCATGTCAATAATAGGCATACCACCATGGAAAAGTCATTAATTTGGGGATTTCTCCAATACCAATATCACATTATAAACCAGGAGTCTTTAACACAATATTTGGAGCATAGTAATTACTTAAAAATACCTGTTGATTGATTAAATGATTGGTTGCTCCTTCTGTCATGCCAGCAAGGCAGAGGATAGGGATGAGATAGAACCTGTCCTGTTATTGCATTGGTATGGAGATTCCTAGATGAAGAAACTTCCTCTACTAATGAATATTAGCACCTTCCCTACAATTTACATTCTTAGATATTTTGTTACAGTACTGAGAAGTTAAATGACGTGCCTTAAGTCACATAGCCAGTATGTGCCAGAGGTAGGATTCAAACCCAAGTATTCCAAGTACGGAAGCCAGCTCTCTATTCCTCTCAGGACAGAGAGGATGATGACATTAATTTCTTCAAATGGTGCCACCATGAGAGAAGGTGACTTTCAGCAATAGAGCAGTATTAGACTTGTGAAGACAGTGAGAAAGGGAAATATGTGTAGTACATGCTAAAGGTTGATTGGCCCTTGGCCATCCTTGCCAAAAGTTTCTGATCCCTACGTAGACCAAAAATCTTCAGTGAAAAAATTATAGTTAGATATTAAAGGCCCCTTACCACCTTCTTCTAATTTGCATTTCTAGACAACCTTTATACTCTTCTTCACATACTCTGTGCTTTTCCCTAACTGGTCTATTAGCTATCCATTAGACTGTGAATTCCTTCAGAACAAGAACTTTTTTCCCCACACAGTAGGCATTTAATAAATGTTAATTGATTGGCTCACTAACTGCTTTTAACTCACCACAACACACATGTATATAATACATACTTACCTATCAGAGGTTGAATAAACTGTTTGTATATATTTTCCAGTGACACTTTCTTCATAGCCGTCCTTTGGGTATTTGCTATAAATAAACAAAATACAGATCTATGAAACATGTTCATCCTTCAAGGTGTCCTGCAATATTGAAAGTACCTATATTCTCTCTCTCTCTCTCTCTCTCTCTCTCTCTCTCTCTCTCTTTATGAGGCAGGGACCAAGACAGAGATAGAGAGGTAGAGAGACAGAGAGAGAGACAAGTGACAGTGACACAGAGATAGAAAGACAGAAAGGTAAAGAGACAGGGACAAAGAAAGAAACTACACATAGAATCGAGAATCAACTTGGTATTCAAAAGCCAAGTTAAAAAACAATAAGCAACGTTTGTGTTTTGGGGCATTTTTTGCCAAACATCTGAGGAAAAAAATTAAAATAGATACAAAATGAAATAATGAATCATGTTTGAAGTCTTTTGGTACTTTTTTAAAAAAAGTATTGCTATATCAAGGTGTGCTTTTAATTATTTGTTCTTCTTTGTATCTCAAGCACTTAGCACAGTGACTTGCATGTAGTAACTACTTAAGAAATGGTTGTTGCCTGACTTTTGAACATCCATCTACATTGCAGATGAGTAAAATTTGAAATATTCTGCCCAGTCATGTTATATAAGAACACTGGGCTTTGAGTCAGGACATCTGTGATTCAATCCCAGCTTTGATATTTGCTAGTTGTGTAACTGTGGGCAAATCATCCAGCCTCTATGAACTTCATTTTTCTTGTCCCTAAAATGGACCCAGTAATATTTAGACTACTTACTTCACAAGATTGTTGCCAGGAATTTTTTTTTTGGTGAATCTTAAACTCTGAATAAGTGTAAGTTGTGGTTATGATTACTTCCCAAATACCCAGTTTCCTCGGGAAGATTAGATTCCAGAAACCTAATGGTTTCATTCTTTTTCAGTGACAGCTTTACAATACTTGTCAGTTCAGAGTGACCCTAAAGCCTCAGTGCAGTTTTAAGCCTTGATAGTATTGGATAGTATTTCTCACTTTGCCACCACCCAGACTGTCCGTGGAAAGGATATTAGAAACAGAATTAAACTTATGGGAATTTGTTACCTCTTTCCCCACAGTTAACCCAGGCTAAAACAGAGGATTTGAGATAATTTTGGATAAATTCATGAGTGACAAATTTAGAACAGAATACGAGCATCATATTCCTTTAGAAGGAGTTCATTCTCCCTCCTCCCTCATCACAGATCTAGTTAGAGGCAAAACTATTGTTAAAGCTAAGCCCTTTCTTCCCAGTCCTATGCTTTTTCTATGTATTGTACTATAAAATTTGAAAAAGTGTGAAGTGTATCTGTAACCTGTTGAAATGAACATAATGAAGGGCAAACTGCTGCTTCACAAAACTTCCTTAAGTTCAACTTTCAGAACTCTTTGCTGGGCGTGGGGGAGGTTGTGGATCTTGGATCTTTTCATTTTTTTCAATGATATGTTCTTTTCCAGATGTTGATGACTGTATTTATAAAATGAAAGATTCACTCTCATCAGTACAGACACCAGACTACATCATTCAAGTGCTAATAGCGCTGACTTTTTATTTTTTTTAATTATCTGTGGATAATTGCCCTCCTACTCCTCAATCCTAAATAAAAGTGTTTTTACTTAACTCGAACATAGTATTGTTTGACATAGAATTTCATAAGAAATGCTTTTAAATCAATATCTCTTCTACTGTGAGAGATTATTAGAATATAGTTTCTATGTGAGATTATTATATGATTAACCAGAAAATGACAAAATGATGTTTTCATTCTCTTTGCTGCTATTTGACCTTTTGCTTGCTTTTCATGGTTACTTTAGACCTGTTTAACTGCTTTTTAATTTCTTGCATATTTAGCTACTTGTTATTTTGAAATTAACAGTGGAATTTTTTTATCTTTTCAATTAAAGGTAGCTGGAGTTACTCAGGTGACCATTCAGGTGAGCTTGTTTTATATATATGTGGGTATATATATTCATACATGTATACATACATATATGTGTGCACATATATACATACACATAAATGTATATGTATGCATTTGTGTGTTTTGTGTGTGTGTGTGTGTGTGTGTGTGTGTGTATATATATATATATATATATATATATAAATGTATATACATAATGGTCACATATGAGAAAAAATGTTGACTACAAAAGCTTCCTGTGGCACACTTCACTGACCTTTGGCCCTCCTGGGAATCACTCTAGATCATCCTTATAGCATAGTCTTTCTTGTGATCCACAGCCAAAAGGCAAAAAAAGAGGCTTTCCTCTTTGAAATTGTTTTTAAACAGCAGGCTAAAATCAATATGTGTAGTACATATGTCTCTTCAATTTGTCATCTCATTACGTCACCCCGTAATCTCTGACGCTCTAATGGAGAAACTGTTGAAAGCAGTTCCTGTTGCACCCAACACAGCAGGCAATTAATAGCATCTGGAAACTCCTAATCTAAGTGTAATTATTCTTAGAGAGATACTTGGGGACTTCAGAATTTCAAAAATGTATTATACTACAAATAAATATGTGAAAATTATGTGAGAACTTTCAAATGGTTAATTTACCCCATACAGGTGTATACCCAAATGATGAGTGTGCATGTGTGTATATGTGTGTACACATGCATATATACATATACATGCATGCATATACACAGATTTAAATACATATTTAAACAATAAACATACATGATAGGGTTTTAAAAATTGTTTTCTATTCTAGTTCTGTTATTTCATTGGTGTAGAAAGCTTCTTATGTGGAAATTCCCTCCACCAAAGCAGATCAACAATTTGCTGTAATATATATGTATACATACACATACATACATACATACACACACATATATAAACTTCAGAGAACTTCCCATTTTTGTAATTTATATAATTTTAGGAAATTTTAGGTGAACTGCCCATGGTTAAACAGCTAGTATGTGTCAGAGGTCAAAATTGAACCCAGGTCTTTCTGACTCTAAGGCTGGCCACTATGTCATGTTGCCTTTCATGCACGCATGTGTGTGTGTGTGTGTGTGTGTGTGTGTGTGTGTGTGTGTGTGTGTGTGTGTACTGATCTTAAAATTCAACTAGATTAGCCTTTCCCAGGATAATTCAACATTTGGAACATCACATATAATTATGCATCCAGCATTCAAAATATCAGTAAATATTTTTCATACTAGGAGCACCATACCTGAAGATTACATCTTCTACCTTAACCATAGATGATTTCAAAATTATTTTTAAAATAGGGAAATATTTGAGGTAACTTTCCAATACCTATTCTCCACATATGTCCTTGTGTACACAACACTGTCCTTTGGACTTGAGTACTTGGTTCGAGTATTATAGCTGAAATACAAACATTTTTAACTTCATTTTTAAAATTTTATTTACAAGAATATTAATGATAGCAGGCTATTGAATAACTAGAGTTAATACTTAGTAAAATTTAGTACAAAATGTAATTTATTCATAGGTATTTCTTCTTCTAAATTATTTTTAATGTAAATGTAAAGGTTATATTAATTGACCACTCCCAAAATTCATTATCAGTATTTTTATTCCTGGTACTATATACTTCCACCAGTATATTCTATTTCTAAAACATCATGTTTAAAATTAGACATTATTCTCAAGAATATTTTGTCTCACATGTGAGTAAACACACTGAGAATTTGATTAGTAATTACTTTGACTTTTAAAATTCCTTTTTATCCTATTGTCCTAATCATATTTCCCAATAGCAATCCCCCCACAGATTTTAAAATCTAAAGTAAAATACTAATTAAGCTCATATGAAATTGTACTATTTACTGGGATTTTATGAATAATTAAAAAGGTTACTTTTATCATTTACTAGACTGTAAGCTCTTTGAAGACAGGAAACTGCCTTATTTTTCTTTGTAACTCTCATGGTTCACATAGCATATTGCCTTGCCTATTACAAATCAAATGTAATAATATGTATAAAATACTTTGCAAATCTTACAGAACCATGTAAAAGCTAGTTATTATCATTATCATTATTATCATCATCATTATTATAGGTGTTCCACTAAATCTGTTGATTGAATGAATAGATAAATGTCATAATCATGCTTTATACAAAATATTAAATTCAGGTCCCTAGTTTTTAAAGTACTCTAGTGACATGGTTTCTATCTACCTCAAGGGTTGTAATGAGAAAAGCACTTTACAAACTTTGAAGTTTTATTTAAAATTGAGCTATTATCAACTTAGTTTTTATAATAAAAGTGTTGGGAATAATCACCTCTGTCTTTCTTATTAAATGGAAAGATCATACACTGGAGTGCTCAGCTTTCCTCCCTCAGTGTTTCTCTCTCTCTCTCTCTCTCTCTCTCTCTCTCTCTCTCTCTCTCTCTCTCTCTCTCTCTCTCATTTCATTTGTTTGTTTTCATTTTGGTCTGGACCTATGATTTAAAAAATGTAGTGAGCCTCCCATAAAGAAATTCCTTCCACCAATACAGATCAGCAACTATTCTGTACTTAATAGTCTTAAATACTTGTATGGGGAATATTTAAAGGTTAAGTGATTTGCTCAGGGCCACAGAGCCAGTGGAGGACAGCTAGGTGATGCAATAGATAAAGTGCTGGACCTGGAGTCAGGAAGACTCATCTTCCTGAGTTCAGATCTGGCCTCAGACACTTAATAGCTGTATGAATCTGGGCAAGTCATTTAACCCTGTTTGCCTCAGTTTCCTCATCTGTAAACTGAGGTAGAAAAGGAAATGGCAAAGCAGTCCAGTATCTTTGCCAAGAAAACCCCAAAGGGGGTCACAAAGAGTCAGACACAAATGAAAACAACATCACAGAGCCAGTACATATCAGAGGCGGGACTTGAAATAAGGTCCTTCTGACTCCAAGGCTAACTCTTTATCTACCATAACATGCTGCCTTTCTTCTTCTGTCTTTTATCTTTTCATATTAGATGGAGTAATGTAAATAAAATATTTATATTTTAATTATCAAATAAGTATGACCCTTTTATAGCAACACAGAAACAACTTTTTACACTGTCGTGTTTTAATAGCATATAGTTTTCACCAGTTGGTAATTTCATTCAGAAAAGAAACGTCCAGTATAGAAACTGTCTCCACCACTGTGCCACCGCTCCAAATTATAGTCTTAGAGTTAAGTAGGACATTGAGAAGTTGAATGACTTACTCACAGTCACATGTTGTCATAGGCCAGTCTTTTGGATCCTGAGGCCCTCTATCTACTATACCACATCACAACAATGTCCAAATGATTAATCCTATTACCTTTCTGAAAGACTTTATGCACAAAAAAAACCTTTCTATTACAATCACCTGATAAAGTGGGAAATTTCTGCAAGGGAAAAAGCTATGTGCAGATTGGTTAATTTTTTTTAAAATTTAATTTATTGACTTAAAATACCTAGCATACCTGGAAGATGTCCTGGTTTCATGAGAATAGGCTGTGTTTATGCTGGACTGGTTGTTTCTGGCATTGGTAGATGAATTGCTATGTTCCTCTAGCCTAAAAACAAAACAAAACCAAAAAAAAATAAACAAAAACCCCAGATTCAGAGACCCATTTAAAAACCAAACACACTTGAAGGTTGCTTGTTTGTTTGTTTGTTTTCCCTTTAATCATGCAAACAAAAATGTTATTAGCAATAAGATGAAACCTTGCTAGATTTGGCTGCTCAACCACACGTAGACACTCCTAGAAACCAAGTACTCCTTCTCCTTGTTCTGTATTACTGCACTTAGATACAACCATTATCTTTCAGGGTAGGCTATTCTGAAAGTGTTAACTACATTCTTTAACTCTATCTTTCATCAAGGATGGAAAGTCTGAGGTTGGTTTCTGAGATTGCTTCACCTCCTAGTTGTGACATTTCAAAAAGCTGCCAATCTATGATGTCTTACAACAGTCGATCGGTTCCATGAGAATGATCCAAAGACTTCCTTTGAGAATCTTCATCTTCCATCTTGTTATAAATTAAGGTCAACATTTTTATTCCTGCAGAACTCAGACCTACATTTTTTATTTCTCTAAAAATACCAGCTAGCTTAGTGGGGGTTAGGAACATTTAGTTTTATTTCTGAGTATCTGAGAAAATTATTAATCTAAGAAAAGTTCAAAGTCTTAGCTCCTCTTCCTTCTCAAGGCTAGCTAAACTTTGATAAAATAAGATTAGAAAAAACACAGAGAAGAGTTTAGATCTTTATCAGCACTTATTATTCCAAGATAGAGTCTTCCTTTAATTCCTATGTGTCTCCTTAATACGTTTTTTTTGTCTTAAGAAAGTTACTACATGAACACATGCATGTATTTCAGAATGACCTTTAAATTATGAGAAAGTGAAATTTTTGTTGTTGCTCAGTCATTTTTCAGTCATGCCTGACTCTTCATGACCCCATTTGGGATTTTCTTGGAAAAGATAGTGGAATAGTTTTCCATTTTCTTTTCCAGCCAATTTTACAAATGAGGAAACTGAGGCAAATGGGGTTTGCCCAGAGTCACACAGCTGGTGAGAAGATTTGAACTCAGGAAGATGAGTCTCCCTGACTCTAGGCCTAGCACTCCACTGTGCCACCTAGCTGACCAAAAAAGTGAAATTATTGGGCTTATATAACTAGTCTAAGATAGTTGTAAGACCCATTCCATCTCATGAAATTTAATTCCACTCATCCAACAGTGTTAGGAATTTTCCATAAATGGTCAAATGCTTGCCGCTGTTAAATAAACATATTCCAAATAAGTTATAGATTAAAAGATGACTTTAAAGAACAAAGTCTAAAGATACATTTGGCTTTTTGCTAAAGATTACCAAATTATTAAATCTGTCTTGAATTACATTTCAAAGCAGAGAAATCTATTTTCAACCACATCATTTAAATGTCATGTCTGCAATGGGATTTCCTACAATAGCATGACAAAAATTTTGATTTCCATAGCAGTTTTTAAAAAATCTATGCTAGTCAATCTTTTTTTTATTTTAATTTTTTTTAAATCCACAAAAGGATGACATTTGTATAGGCCTCTCTATCCACACCCCAACACCCAATGTGTTTTGAGTGTGATAGGGAATGCAAGTATAATTGTATTCTTTTTTTTTTTAAGGCAATTGGGTTAAGTGCCTTGCCCAGGGTCACACGGCTAGTAAGTGTCATATGTTTGGTCTGAGGCCAGCTTTGAATTCAGGTCCTCCTGACTTCAGGGCCAGTGTGCTACTCGCTGCCCGCTATAATTGTATTCTTTCAATTCAATTTAAAAGACATTTATTAAGCCTCTACTATTGTCAAGGGACTGTGGAAATGAAGGCAAAAAAAATAAATAATCAACACATTCCCTGTCCTCAAGGAGTTTACCTTCTACTTAATGGATACAATATGTATATGAGGGGTGGGGGCACACAATGTAATACAAAATCATTTCAAAAGGGAGAGAATGCTAATAACTGGGTGGACTAGGAAATGGCTGATGTAGGAAATCATGTATCTGATCTGTAGAAATTCTGTAATGCAATGGAGAGGAAGGAGCAAATTTCAGACACTGAAGACTACTTATGTAGATACAGAGATTGCTTGGAGAAGAGTCAGCCATTTGAATCGGACAAGGTATTTGAAGGGGAGCAATATGAAATAAGAAGCCAGTAAAAGTAGATGGGAACCAGATGGCAAGGGGCTTTAAATTCCAGGCTGAGGATTTTACATTTTATCCTAGTGGCACTGGGGAGGCATTGCAGATTTTTTTTTTTGGTATATATTTGTGTTGTAGAGGGAGCTCATGGTCAAATCAGTTTTAGGAGTATCAATCTGGCAGCTGTGTAGAGAATGGAGAAGCACCAGGCGGTCACGAAGCATTTATTAAGCACCTACTCTGCCTTAGGCACTGTGCTAAGCACTGGGGATATGAAGAAAGGCAAAAGATAGTTCTTGCTGTCAAGGAACTCAGTCTAAAGGCAGAGACAACATGTAACCAATTAATGCTGTTCAGTTGCTTCAGTCATGTCTCTTTGTAATTCCATTTGGAGTTTTCTTGGCAAAGATACTGGTGGTTTGCCATTTTCTTCTCCAGCTCATTTTACAGATGAGGTAACTGAGGCAAACAGGGTTAAGTGACTTAAACAACTAATACTAACAAGCTACAATAGAAGATATACTGAAGATGATGAATGAAGGGAAGCAGCAGCATTAAGGGGGGATCAGAAAAGGGAAGCAGTTCATTTAGTCTAATTTGCCATAGGTTATAAGATTTGCTGCCTCAGTACCCTTAGGAGGTAATCCAAAACCTACTTTAATCCCTCTAGGGACTGGGAACTAGCCCATTGCATTACTAGAAGGCTCTGTTTGTTGGAGATTAATAGAATCACAGGGCCACAGATTTGGAGTTAGAAGGGACCTTAGAGGTCATCTTGTTAAACCCATAATGGTGGCTTGGTAGTGTAGTTGATAGAGCACTGGGCTTGTAATCAGGAAGACTCATCTTCCTGAGTTTAAATCTGGCCTCAGAAATACTAGCTGTGTGACCCTGTGTGACACTTAACCCTGTTCATCTCAGTTTCCTCTTCTGTAAAATGAGCTGGAAAAAGAAATGGCAAACCACTTAATCAGTTGCGAAGAAAACCACAAACGGGGTCACAAAGAGTCAGAAACAACTGAAAAAGAACTGAACAAAAGTTAAACCCATTCCTTTCATAGATGAGAAAACTGAGGCTCAGAGAAATTAAGTGACTTACCAAGGTGACCCAGGTACTAAGTAGCAGGGACAAGATTTGAACTCAGTTCATAGAATTATAGGTTGGTGTATTTAGATTCGAACGGGAATTTAGAGACCCTCTAGTCTAACCCCTCAGTTTGCCAATAAGGGGCTGAGCTCCAAGGTGGTTAAGAGACTTGCCCAAGGTGAATCAGGTAATGGGGCAAAGTGGGGGTAGATCCCACATCTACGACTTCAACCCAGCCCTCTTTTCACATGGTACCTCCCTTCTTTGCTAGGTTGAGCTAAAACCTGCCTCTTTATAAATTCCACTAAATGGTGTTATTTTGATTTCATAAATAGTAACCCTATGTGGCTTAAATCCAAATACCTTAAATCTCCAGAACTCTATTGAATATTATTCCTTTGAATGCATTGTGGGTGGTCATACCCTGCAGCCCTAGGCAAAGTAAACACTCTTTGAAAATTATACGGTCAGGCCCTGAAAGAGTTGTCAGAATGATTCCCTTATCTCCCACGATATATATCTCATTAATTTCACAAAAAATAAGAGGTTTCCATCAAGTTATACTGCAATGAAATCCTTATATAGCTGAACTACTTTCCTTAGCCTTTAAAGCTGATAATGTCTCTATGGAATGTCTCTCTAATCTTCAAAATAGGTCAGTAATCACATAATTTTAGAAGGGGTTCTTTATTTGTGAAAGTAGATTTAAAAGTAATTCCTAATGCACCAAATTTGAAAACAGATATGCAGTCCTACGTACTTTCTAACTGGGTCCTTTCCTATCTTTCTAGTCTTCTCACACTAACTTCACTTACTCTGTGATCCAGAGACACTTGTGTTCTTGTTGTTCCTCAAACATGATACTCTGAACGTTTTTCTTGGTTGCCCTCCATGCTTGCAATGCTTTCCTTCCTCATCTCTACCTCTGAGGTTTTCTGGCTTCCTTCATGTCTCTGCTAAAGTCTCACCTTCTGCGGGAAGCCTTTCCCAGTCTTCTTAATATTATTGCCTTCTCTCTGAGACAACCATACCCCACCCTTCTACCAAGTTAAATTGTTAATATCTTGTTTGCACATAGTGGTGCAGAATTTGCATATTGTATCCCTTATTAGACTCCTTTTATCACCAGCCTTTAGCATAGTGCCTTGCACATAAGACATTTAATACATGTTAGCCAACTTGCTGACCAAGAACATTTCATGTGTTATTGCACTTCTCCAGGTTACAAAAAGGTATCTCTGTAGCAATCACATATACACATGCATACAAAATGCAACATGTAGAGCACATGTTATTGTCTCTGTTTTAGAGGTGAGGAAAATTGAATTTGGGGAGGCTGAATGATTTGCTCACAGTGCCATAGTGAGTAAGCATTAGGGATTGACCTGAATTTGGAATTCACTTTCCAATACAATCCACTGTCTCCTGTACTATAGTACAGATTAATATTTCAGTTTAATAGCCTAGTCCAAGGCAGTTACTTGATTTATTTTGGTGTAGTAGAGCCAGAAGACTTGGGCTTTGGATCAGCCTCTGCTATTTAGTAGCTAGGTGACTGCAAGGGAGTCACTTAATCAGTTGAGCCTCAGTTTCTTTATCCTTAAAATGGGGCTGATACATTTTCAACCTTAGAGGGTTGTTCTGAGGAACACCCTTCATAACCTTAGAGTAGAATAAATGTTGTTATTATTATTCCTCTGGGCAGCTAGGTAGCACAGTGAATAGAGTACTGTGCCTGGAAGACTCATCTTCCTAAATTCAAATCTGTCCTCACTTAGTAGCTGTGTGGCCTTGGGCAAGTCACTTAACCCTGTTTGCCTCAGTTTTCTCATCTCTAAAATGAGCAGGAGCAGCAAATGACAAACCACTCCAGTATCTTTGCTGAGAAAAGCCCAAATGGAGTTACAAAGAGTCAGACATGATTGAAATGACTGAACAACAATTATTATTATTTCATCTATTCAAGTCCTACTCCAGTGACTCACAATGACATGACAATAAACGTATCAAGGATTGTGCCAAAGTCTAGCAGATCCTATAAGCTAGAAGGGCTTCAGATATGGCCATAGCAATGGTCCCTATGACTATGGTCCAAGGACCACTCTAGTTACTTGTTGGCTGGCCACGAAGTGATAATTCTTTCCAACAGTAACTCATGAGGACCATCTACTAAGGCATGGAAAGATTGTGATCTGTATTGATGGAGCTAGTATCCATGTATACCAAGATACATATAGCTTTCCTGAACTACAGAAGACTTATTCTCTTAGCTTATTTCCTGATCACCTATTTACTGAAAGGAAATCTCTAGTATAAGTTCAATAGATAAGCATCCATATCTTTAATTTTCTCTTTTGCATGAGGAATCAAAGATTGCCTTAAAACTCACCACTTTTCATTATTGTGTGTGTTGGGGTTTACATCTATGAGATTGTCAAGGTCTCTGTAAGAATGAGAAATTACTAAATGAGAAACATCCATATATAAGTGATCTCATTCATTTCAACCATCTTCTACCTTTCATTTCTTTGATTGAAAGTGCTGGATGGTATAGTAGGTAGAACCTTTGGATTTGGAGTCAAAAGATGTTTTGTGTTCTAGCCCTGTCACTTCTTGTGACATTCTGTGCAACTTTGGACAAACCTGTTACTGTTTCTGAACATGTTTCCTCATTTAAAATGTGAAGAATAATGCTTCTACTATTTATGTTTATTTAGATCAAATGAGTTTATATATCTAAAATATTTTGTAAACTCTAAAGAACACTATATACATAAGCTATAGTTATTATTCTTTTTCACAGGGACAGAAACTAAGATGGGGAAAAAAAAGGAGAGGTGAAATGAGTAAACCTCTGATACAAGGCTAACTCAAGACCATACCCCATCTTGACCTGTTTTTCCTAGACTGGGTTCTATGTCTTGGATTTCTCTTTCTATACTGGGGCCCCAGTGTCCCCCTAAAGTTAATATCTCATATCCAAAATAGTCAAGCTTTGATTAAAAAATGATATGAAAAAATAATCTTCAAATTGGGTGCTAATAGTTGATAAGGCTGCTTGTGCTATCCCTTCTTAAGAATTTGCATTTTAACATGTGAATTTTCAAACCCCAAAGCTTCATCCAAAGGAAAAAATCGCCAACAAATGGAATTGCAGGCACTCTAACAAGTCAACAGGGAAGCTGGGAGCTACAAGGGTCTTCCTAGAACCCATTAAAAATTGCAATATATAAGCAGACATGTTCTACCTATATGTAAAGTTGCCCCTGTTATCACTCCTTCTGCTGAATCCCCAAGACAGAGCTTATTGAGGAAGCACTCCTAAAGACATGTTTTTCCCCTCCTGACCATTAAAAAAAATCCCACTAACTGAATGTTCTTCCTGAGGTTCTGGGGAGAAAGGAGGAAAGGAATTGAAATTAAAAAAGGTCATCAACTACAGTTCTATCATTTTACAAATGAAGAAACTGAGGTCTACAGTAGTTATATAACTTGTCCAAAATCAGGATTTGAATTCAGGTCCTATGACCCCAAGTTCAGTGTGTTTTCCCACTGCATTGTCGTGATGGGAAGGGCTATTGGGCCCAGGAAGATTTTGTACACATTATAAGACAGAGGTTTCTACTCTTTTCCTCATTCTTTTATTATATATACATATTCTGTACTGTATAAGACAGAGGTTTCTACTCTTTTCCTCATTCTTTTATTATATATACATATTCTGCACTGTATAAATCCTTTGCCTAAACATAATTTCATGGACTAGGAAGAAGACTGGATGGGGGGAGGGGTAAAAGGCTGTTGGGTTTTTTGGGTTGTCTTATTTTATTTTATTTTATTTTTTGGTACCAGGTGGCACTCACAGTTGCTATGGCACTGACAAGTAATTAATTCTTCCCTAATTTAAACTGTCTGTTGAACCCACCAACTATACAATCTACATCAATCCTTCATGTGGCGGCAAACAACGTGCAGGAATTTTAAAACAATAATATCCCAGAGGCATAAAGAATATCTGAAACTGTGTCTTGTTTTGTTGCTGTTAGGGATTCATGCCATTTACTAGGTGAGGAATCTGAGAGGTGGATCCTATAGTGCTTTCTGCCACTGCTACAAACCCATCAAGCTGCAGTATGTAAAAATAAACCTTCACAGCCTAAGAGCTTAGTATCCCAAATACACTCAATTTGCATGATGCCTTTTACAGTAAGCAGAAGGGTCCTGAGTCACAAATTCAGCCAAAATTGGAATTTTCTTTTAAGCTATTTCCATAGGATTATATATCAACCATTAAAGATCCCTTCCCGACCCAACCCCTAACCCCCAAAATCTTATATGAATGATTGATGTTCTGTCTCCTCCAATTAGAGTGTGAGCTCTTTGAGAAAAGGAATTAACTGAGCTTTTTCTACTTGTTTATTGCTCTTTTTTTTTTTTTGGTTAGGCAATGGGGTTAAGTCACTTGCCCAGGGTCACACAGCTAGTAAGTGTTTTGTGTCTGAGGCCAGATTTGAACTCAGGTCCTCCTGAATCCAGGGCCGGTGCTCTATCCACCTAGCTGCCCCAGCTTTTTCTACTTGTATCCCCGGCACTTAGCAATGCTTGGCACATACTAAGCCTTTAATAATGTTTTATTTTTTTTCATTCCCTCAATGCCGAATTTGAATTGTCACTTCATAAACATCTAATTCTAACTCATTTTTACCTTGACTGTGGCCCAGCACAGTTGAAAGAATACTGAACTTGAAGTTTAAAATTCTAGCACTAATAATTATATGTCAGAACTGTATGATGTTGGGTAAAAAACTTCTCTGAGATTCAGTTTTCTTAATCTTAAAATAAAATCCCTTCCAACATTAAATCTACGATATCAATTCAATTCTCCTGAAATTCTTATAAAAAGGCAAGCAAAATAAATTTGATTTAATGTGCTCATACATGGAATTAATCAAGAATAGGGGGAAATTATACTTGGCCTTACCCTTGGGTCTTTTTGTTATATCCATTAGAATTTACTTCAGTGTGATTGTCAAGGTCCTGGTCTCTATGGGAATAAAAAAGTTCATGCTATATTAGATTCACCTTTAAATTACAGGAAAGTAGTCTTTTGAAACAAAGGTCACACAGGGAGGAACTGGCACTATTGGTTACTCTGGTCTGAAGAAAAAAAACTTTATAAAATTTTATGTAATCTCAGAATTAGCTTTAAATCATTGTTCCACATAAACATATGTGTCTTCCCAACTTCTTTAACCCTTTCCTCCCCATCCCTTCCTCCACCTCAGTGCAAGAGTAACTGGGCAAACTCTTTATGAATGTAGGGATAGAGATAGTACTTGTACTCTGTTTTCACTGATACAGGGAATTCCTGGGTGAGATAACTTCTATCAATACAGGTCAGCATCTTCTCTGCATCTTATAGCCTTAGAGAGTTATCTAAAGTATTTGGAGGACAAGTGATGTGTCCAGGGTTTCATTGCCAGAATGTGTCAGATGTGGGACTTGTAGACAGCTCTTTATCTACTACAGAACAATGATCTTTCCACATATGAATGTAACAGACTATTATTGCATTGAAACAAATTATGCATATGAGAAACTCAGAGAAACTCGGGAAGACTTGCATGAATCAATTCAGAGTGAACTTAGCAGCATAAGAAGAATACTGTATATAGTAACAGCAATATTGTTTTAAGAATGACTTTGAGAGAAGTTTTGTCTATTATTTTGTCTATTAAAAAAACCTAAATTAACTATAAAAGATACGAAGAAAGATACTACCTGCATCCAGAGAAAAAATTGATAAATAGAAGTATGAGTGGAATAATTTTACATACACACACACACACACATGCACACATGCTTGTTTGTGTCTAATGGTAACCATCTCTAGGGTGGAGGGGAGAAAACAAGAAATTTATGTGATAATTTTGTTGTACATTTGAAAGGAATAGCAAGTTGTGCATAGTATATTATGGAAATGCTTCTTTTATTTTCTAAATTAAAAATAGAAAAAAACCAAAAATGCAAATGTAAAGAAAATTAAAGGAAAGTCAGACACTGAGTAATTATAATGACTGAAGAACCAATAATGCAACATATATCCATCTTCTCCACATGAAGAAGGGAGACCTTGTGGATGGTGTTAGGTATAATGCCAGAAACAGTCGTGAAATTGGTTGGTTTTGCTTAACTGTTTTTCTTTGTTTCAAGGGAAGGTTTAATGCAGGGTTGGGGTGGAGGCAGAGTACACCTGGTAGTTTCTATGAGGCAAAAAATAAGAGTTTGCAGCAAAATAAATAACATATATGTGGCCTTGAGAGTCAGATTATCAGACATGAAGATACTGATGGTTTGGGGGAAGACAGAGAGAATTCAATTTAATCAGGAAGAACTGGGTATAAAAAAAATAGCCAGGTAAAGCAACATTCAAGGATCAAATCAGAAGTTTCCATCAGAATTTACATTACCTGAAACATGAAGAGTCCATTTAAGATTTGAATTAAAGTCTGATGGAGAATAAATGGAGAAACTGAACCACTGTTCTACGTCAAATATTGGATCATTCTATTGATAGATAACTATTAACAACTATCTTGATGGGCAAAAACAAAGTCTATAAGGCACCAAATAAACTGATCCATTAGTAAGCACCCATATATCTGTAGTTAGATAATATATGCAAAATACATTGCAGATCTTAAAGTGGTATATACATTTTAGCTATCATTAATAGTAATTCATGTATCCTAGGAATCCAAAGCTCTAGGGCTACAATACATCATCATTTGCAGGAGGACCAGTTCTATTGTTGTCTCTGAATTCTCAAATATCTCTGGAATTATCTTTAGTTTTTAGAATTTCCATTTCTGGGGGCAGCTAGGTGGTACAGTGGATAGAGCTCCAACCTTGAAGTCAGGAGGAACTGAGTTCAAATCTGGTCTCAGACACACAACACACCACACATACTAGCTGTATGACCCTGGGCAAGTCACTTAACCCCAATTGCCTAGCAAAAAGTGGGAAAAGAAAGAAATTCCATTTCTTCCATGGCTACTATCTTTCTTCTAATGGACCTAGGCTTGAATCCTGTGTTTAGATATGCTTGGTATAGGTTGCATTAATTAAATATGTATATTAATTTTATTAAACACATTTGGGAGTTTTTAATGGAATTTTCTTGTTTATGCTTATAGAAGTTAACATGTACATGCACACACATACAAAAGCAACGAAAAATTAGTATCTCATTTTTTGTCAGGGAAAAATCTGGTCATATTAGTTCCAAACTTCCAGTATCTAAATTAAGCTCCCATTCATAGGAATTATCATAACAATTCATATTTCTATGACTTTGGGAGTTTTATAGTGTTTTGCTTACAATAACCCACTGGCATAGGCAGCTTATATCATATCATTCCTCATCTACAAGATGAGGAAACTGAAGTTCAGAGAGTCGAGGTGATTTGCCCAAAATCACACCCTTCATAAGCGTCAAAGTTATTACAAAAATCTAGTTTTCTTGACTCCAAATCCAGTGCTTTTTCTAGTTGAGTTATATACATTTGAATAGACAGAAACCATTACAAGTGCTCTTTAAAGCAGTGTGCCAGAGGAAAAAAACATAATCAATGCAACAATGACACTCTTCAGGTTCCTCTAAATTGTTTGGAAAATGGCTGAATAGTTTAGTACCATACATTTCTCCAAGGAAACATTAGAGCCTTCCTTTCTTTTCTCTTTCCCTTCTTACTCTCCAGTAGAGATGTTGACAGAGAGTGAAATAAATCATCAAAAGGAACCAGAGTGAGAGGGAAGAGAAACCTACCAGCTACATGGAGACAACTCATCCCTTAGTAATCAAGAGGGACCTATACAAAAACAGGATCATACCTTTTCTTCCTAACAGACTATCACTAAAATTGCACCAGGAACTATTAAAAGGGCTCCATAGGCCCTTTTACCAGTGGTCTAATAGAACTTCATTTGCTTTACCCAAACATGAAGCACATTAAACAAGTAGAATGGACTATATGACCAGAATCTAAAAGAAACAAAACAAAACTATATGAATACATGTATGTATATATATATATATATATATATATATATATATATATATACACACATATATATTTATATTCTATATAGAGAGACTATATATGTAACAAAGCCATATGATGATAAAAGCAAGGAAGAAAAGACATGATGAGTAAGAAAACAAATCAAGGACATTATTGTTTTTCAGCCTGATTGATTTCAACAACCAGCTTTGACAATCCAATCCAAGCAGCCCAGACTGCTCATAAACTTTCCAAGTTACTTGGGGTATAAAAATAAATTTTCCCTGTCTAATTAAGTCTACATAATTTACATCATGTCTTTTGCACCAAGGTATAAGATGGGAAGAGCTGTGATTTAAAGCACCCAAAATAGATTTTTAGAAAAGCCCATCCAAATGTTGCTAGCAAACAAGAGCATGTGTATAAAGCTGTTTAATAAAAGAATGATTACAGCAGACCTGACTGTTTCTTACTCTTGTAAACATTTGGAATTTATTTCAGTGATATGGTCACATCCTTGGCCTCTGTAGATCATGAGAAACCCTTTGGAAAAAATGAGCACTACGTAGTTCAGCTGGAAAATGGAATTTTAAAAGCAGTTTTCAAAAATAGAGAAAAGAGCTGGGTGTGGTAATACAAACCTATACTCCCTATTACTAGGGTGCTTTAGTGCTGGAGTTCTGAATGGCAGTAGGCTAAGCCAATCAGGTAGCTGCCTTAAATCCAGCACTGGATTTAATGGACCAGGTAGGAAAAGCAAAGTTAAACTCTGGAACCAAATTGTAATGGGATTACACTCTATACAACCACTTGGTTGAGATATGGAGCCCCAAGGGAAGAAGAGAGAAGGAGCAAGAAAGAAGAGGGAGAGAGAGAAAGCATAGCACAATGTATTTGAAAACCTACCTCATTTTTACAGAAAAGGAAATTGAGGCCCAGAGAAATTGATTGACTTTTTTCTGAGGTCACATGGATAGAAAGAGAGGAGAGTCTATATTCAAACTCAAATCCTTTGATCCAGAGCTAAGGAATTGATTGCACCAAATGGCATCCCATATATTCTGTCTCTGTTTTTATGTGTGGGAAGTAATATATTTTATAAAGCAGCAATATATTTGCCTCAACATAACTTACTTTAACTGCTCATTGTTCAGCATGGAATACATTTACCAAATTACAGAGTGACAGTACAAAAGATTTACTATGCATCCTCAATTTATGCCAAAAATTAAATCTTGGGCATGAAGCTTTTGATTGAATAGAAGTCTTTGTCACTCTGAAAGGGGTATAGAAACTACAGTGAGATCATTTGTATAATCCTTTTTCAACTATGTTGTGAGAAAGGGGGGACATTTATGTTTATTTTTCAAGGAATTTTTTTAAACATGAGAGAATTAAGGCTGTTACATTAAGGAAATTAGTGTTCCATACTGATATAGGCCTATGCAAGCACATCAGGCAGATGATACAATAAGCCAACTTCATTGAGCTTGAGTCCTCGTGGTTTATGAAATCTGACCCTGGTGCAGCAGGTTTTCATTTTTGCTGCTACTTGCAGAACCACAAAGAATTGTCACAGAAAACCAAATCCAAAGTTTCTTATATACTTACTTCAATTTTACGTACTCTACATATCATAGAAGATTTGGTTCAAACTTTCTCTTGCCCCTAATATCTATATGACCTTAAGCAATTCATTTAGGTCCATTGGGCCTCAATTTCCTCATTTGTAAAATGAGAGGTTAGGACTTGATGACATTTGGAAGTAGCATGGTGTAGTAGAAAGAGGGCCAGATTTACAGTCAGAGGATTTAGGTTGAAACCCCAGCTCTCCACTTGTTCCCTGTGTAACCTTGGACAAGCCATTTTGAATTTTCTGAATCTCAGTTCTCTTATGGATAAAATGATGGGGTTAGACTAGATGGCTTCTAAGACCCCTTCTATATGTAAATCTATGAACCCACACATTCATATGAAGTTTTTGCTTTTGCTTTCACAGAATTCTACTTCTCAGTATGGCATAGGAGTGAGCTGGCCTTCAAACCAGGAAAACCTGGGTTCACAGGCCCACCTTTCACACATTCTAGCTATAGGACACTGGGCAAGCAATTGAATTTTAAGTGCTTTAGGCAATTCTCTATGACTATATATATATATATATATATATATATATATATTTCAGAAAAGGTGAAATATGCATTGGTAAAAGATGTTTCTTCATTTGGAAGTTCCTTATATCAATGAAATCAAAGATCTAGTCCAGATCCCTATATTATGGTGTCAGTGGGGTTTAGAAGGAATTTGTTTCTTTTATGGGTTGGTGTTGGAGAAGAGGTTTCAGAAGGGTGGGAGGACATTTCATTGAGAGAAGAGGCAATGAGGGCCTAGATAAGGGTGGTGGCTATGCTAGTAGATCAGAGGGCATTTATTGTGTCCAAATCCTAGCTCTGCCATGTTATTGTTGTTGGTGGTGGTCATTCGTTCTCAAAAAGGACCAATGAAATAATGAAGGTAATGTCTTGACTTGTGCATGAATTGGATTTAAATGAGGCAAAGCTGTGCAAAGTCATTATCTGGACCTCAGTTTTCTCATTTAGAAAACAAAGTGGGATAAATAGATGCCCCCACTTCCTTTTGGCTCTAAATCAACACTTCTATTATTATACCATCTATTTAACACTATTTTAATGATTAAAGTAGTTGGGGGCTGGGATATAGTCTTTCATGACACAAGCATGATGATACAAGTGAGTAAGGACATCAGTTTCTGTCTCTGACAAATGTTATCTTTTATAATTCTAAGGGTAAAAATGTCAACAGATGAATTTAAGTCTTCATTCAGAAATAGCTTCTACAGTCAGGCTAACAATAGCTTATGAGCTACCAGTAATTGACTTTCTCCTTTTAGTGTTAGTTCATGGAAATTTGAAAATATGCCTGTTAAGAGTGAAGCGTTTTCTCACTGTATAAGTGAAATTTCCTCATAAATATGCATTTGTCAGGTTGCTGGGTTCCTAGAAGGAGGGCAGGAATGTCTGTTTGCAGGCAGAGTGACAACTGGAATTTTATTCAGTCCTTAAGTGAACTATAGCTGAAAATGTCACCAGTCTCCTAAACAGAACTCAACTTTGCTGTAGCTCTCCTATGAAGTCATCAATCCAAACATAACGTTAAATAGGATTGTAAGGGGATGGTACTGCCACTAAGCTGATTTTGACCTTTCAACATCATCCTTTTCTGTACTTCCACTTCAAATGGGAAGGGCTAATGCACTAAATAATAAAAATAATAGAATGAAATAAAAAGATCTCTTTTCCAAATCACTCCAGAATTCATGGATTTTTTTTCCTATTTATTCCATGATGAGTTATTGAAGAAATTGACTGGTTTCTACCTGAATGAGGTACACTATTGAAGGCATTCAGATATGAGGCTTAATTGGGCCATTCTGAAACAAAATCATCAACTTTTGAATAAACATAATTCAATTATTGCCTTGAGTGACATCTGCCATCTTCATATAAAAAAAACTTCTTGTTATAGAAATTTTATAATGCATTGCTGAAGTCCACACTATATTGAACAAGTAATACATTATTCTATACTAAAGAAATTCAATGAGAGAGCTTGGCTTGCATCAAACAGAAGGAAATATATCTGAGGAATTTGGTTTTTAAATGCACTTCATTAACACAATGTTCTAATGTGATACTCTGGACTGGTTAATTTTACAAGCTTCTCCAGTAAATAACTCCATCTATCCAAAACTTAACATCTTTGGGAAATTTGTCCCAGTTCCTCTTCCTATCATCCAGAAGCATCAGCTTAGGTGAAAATGCTTTCCTTTCTCTTGCTATCTTTCTTAGGTAGCTAAGTGGTATGCTGGATAGAGTGCTATATATGGAGTGAAGAAGACCTGAGTTCAAATTCAGCCTCAGATACTTACTAGCTGTGTGACCTTGGGCAAGTCACTTAACCATGGTCTGCCTCAGTTCCCTCATCTGTAAATGATGATAATAATAGCACCTACCTCCCAGAGTTGTTGTGAGGATAAAATGAGATGTTTGTAAAGTGCTTTGCTAATCTTAAAGTATTATATAAATGTTAGTTATTATTATTAATTATTACTTTCATCCACGTTGAACTCAGCTCAACTTATAGTAGTCAATCTATAGTATCTTTTTCTATTAGACTCTTCAATTCTACCTTTGGAAGCCATGCTTGGTGACCAAACACCCTGCCTACTCCCATTCCTAATCTTCAATTTCTACTTCTTTTGTATCTTCTGGAGGTGGCTAGGTGGCACAGTGGGTAGTTGAATCAGGAGGATCTGAGTTCAAATCTGGCCTCGGACACTTAACACTTCCTAGCTGTGTGACCTGGGCAAATCACTTAATCCCGACTGCCTCACCCCCCCCCCCAAATCGTCTTTTGTATCTTCCACTTTCCATACTAACTGGGCATCCTTCCCCATACTCTACAATGCTGACCATTCTTCTCATGCCCTCCAATACACAGGGCAAAGAACTGGCAGTCTCATTTCTTTTAATTGACACTTTTATTTATTTATTTTCCCTCCCCCTTCCCCCACCCTAGAGATGACTATCATTAGACACAAATATATATATATGTAAGTATATATATGATTATATATACATATATGTATGTATATATGGGATTATATATACAGACACATACACATGTGTGTATATATATATATATGTATATATGTAAAATATATATAAAATCATTTTATACATATTTCTATTGATCAGTTCTTTCTCTGGATGCAGATCACTTCTTCCTTCACATGTCCTTAGCCAATTGTAGAAATTTATTCTGTCCTGTCACTCAGCTATCTTTCCTCCTTTGTAGTTTATGCCACCTGATTATAACACACCCTCCTGATTAACTGCTGTTCTCCTATACAGGCCTCTACAACATTTGTCCACTTTCCCTGGCAACTTTTTCACTTTTCTTTTGCTTTTTTGTCATGCTCTTCCATTCCATCTCATATCCTGACACCACCTTTAATAACTTCAATATTTATGTTTCATTTCTTTCTTTGTATCCCCAGTGGCTAACACTGTGCTTGGCACCTAATGGGCCTTAAATACATGTGGACTGACTGATTGATTGAATGATTGATCGATGACCACTCTAATACTCTCTGATCTCACAATAAAAAGAGTACCAGACTTGAAAACAGAGTCCAAGGCCTGTTGCTATTGTTATTTGTTCTACATTCTCAAAGAGGACCAATGACATCACAGGGTGATGTCTTGACTTGTGATTTAATTGGATTTAAGAGAGGCAGAGCTGCACAAAGTCAACAGCCTCACTCCCTCCTCCAGAGTCCTCAGAGGTCCAGAAGATCTGGTGTTACAAGTCAATGTCTGGGATGCAGTGGATGACCTTGGCCTTTTTAATTAAGGTCTTTCCCAGACCTGCACTGAAATCCTGTCAAGCCACAAATTACCTGTGTGACTTCAGATTTCTCATTTGTAATTTAAGCAGGTTGGACTAGCTGTTTTCTAAGATCTCTTCCAGCTCTGATATTCTATTATCGGGCAGCATATCTATGACTCCCCCTTCCAACCCCAACTGGGTTCAAAGCCTGGCTTGGAATCAGATGATCTGTATTCAAATCCTGCTTCTGCTCCTTCCTCCCTGTATCACCTTGGGGAAGTCACTTAACCTCTAAATCTCAGTTTCCTTGTCTACAAAAACAGGGAGTTGCACCAGAAACCCTTTAGTAGGAGAAAATAAAAATGGTTCGGTTCAATGATAAGACTTAAAAAATTATTCATATTAAAAATCTTTTTCATTCAAGTGTCTGTGAACTCAGGAAAATTACAATATCATGGATCTAGAACAGGAAGTTATATAAGTAGTAAACATCTGATGTGGGACTTGAACCAGGTCCTCTAGCACTAGCTTTGTGAGCATGTGATACTAAGTGCTAATTCACTACTCGTCAGCCAATTTGGTGTCATCCCTTGATCCTGGGAATGCAATTTCCAGCAAGGAATTTGTTATAACAGCATTTCCCACTACCACAAAGCAATATGCAAATGTTATGAAGTTCATAATCATGCATTTTACTTGTGTTAATAAAGCACTTTGGGGTGAAGGATGCCACCAAAAAGCAACAAAGGGCAGACAACTGTATGAAATACACAATTTTTGCTTAGATTGTTTGTTTCAGTAGGACCCCTGGGCTCTGAATTATCTCATGATTAGATACAACATCTTCCAAAAATCTTTTCTTCAGATGAGTCTTAATTAATTTTGCTTTTCAGCCTTGATAACTGCCTCCTATATAGTCCAAGTTTGGAAATGGTTCCCTAGAAGGAAGAAGAATAGCTAAGCTGAGCCCATAATGGGACACCATGTTGTCTTGTTGACAAGGGCAGGAACCCTAGACAGTATTAAACATAAGCAAATGAGAAAATGATGCGTGACCAGTTGAAAAAAAAACAGCAGCAGTAGGCCCATAATTTTAAACAGAGAGCCCCATTACTATCTTAAAAAGCCAAATGTACGTCCTTGGAATGCTTAGTTTTACAACCATATGCTGATTTGAAGAAAAGAAAAACCCAACCAAGACAAAACACTCACCAATAAAAGGATGCACTACTACTAGCTTGACAAAAAAATACGTATATATATATATATATATATATATAATATATATATAATATATATATATATATATATATATATATATATCAGCAGCTTTAAAAATTCTTACTCAGTTCTTTGCAAATAGTTCAGAGAGGGCAGCAAGATTAAATGTTCTTACCTCTTGCTGTTTCTGAAAGTTGTTGGATTCACTTTAACGAATCTATCCAGGTCTTGGCTCCTTTGGTAGGAGAAAATAAAAATGGCTTGGATCAATGATAAGATTTCAAAAATTATTCACATTTTAAATCTTTTTCATTCAAGCATCTACCCATGAAACTCAAGAAAATTATAGTATCATAGATCTAGAACACAAAGTAACTTTAGAGGCCACTTAGCCTAACTCCCTTATTTTACCATAAAGATAGGGAAACCAGAGTTAAGGGACTTGCCCAAAATTATAAAGTAGTAAACATCTGATGTAGGACTTGTAACCAGGTCATCTTATTTCCAGAGACAATGTTCTTTTCAAGAATCACATTACCTTCCATACTGTTGAAAGAATATATTTTTATTCCTTTACCTCTGATTATTTCTGAGAAATTCAGGAGTCACTTTGATGAATTTATCAAGATCATCTTGGTTTCTTTAAATCATAAAAAATAAAAACAGTACAGATTAATGATACAGTTGGAGGAAGTAAGTACACTAACATTATGAACGGGTCAGATAATTTTCTAAAAGTCTGTCAAATGCCTTGGAAACAGATGAGAATGATGAATATTCCTTCTTCTTACCTCTGATTATTTTTGAGGGTTTCAGGATTAACTTTGATGAAATCGTCAAGATCTTGGTTTCTTTAAAGAGGACAAATAAAAACAGTTTGAATTAGTGACAGGCAAAGATTTAATGCGAGGAATTTGTATGGGGAAGGAAGGGAATCTGGATATCACTATGCTAAAAGACTTATTTTCTTAAAAATTAATTGATGTAAGTCTTGGAAACAGTTTCCTATCCTCTCAGAGTAAGGATTAAATAATCTTGTTTGAATAGAAAATAATTCTGGTTTTATATATTTTATTTCCACTATCGCTCTGCTATGAGTAAAATGTTTGTTAAGTAGTGTGTTTGTGTGTGTATGTGTGTATATGTTGTGTGTGTGTGTGTGTGTGTGTGTGTTTTAATTCATATGGTCTAGTAAATGTGAAGTGGATATCCAACAATCAACAAGCATTTATTTAGTACTTACCATGTGCCAAGCACTGTGTTGGTAATGAGGATACAAGGAAAAATAATAGTTCTTGACCTCAAGAAGCTCATATTTTGTCAGAGGATTAGTTTATTTTCCCCTTTATCCAGATACTTTGGCCCGCTGTGGACATGACATGACTCTATTATCCTATCCTGATTTGCCATGCCCAGTAAATAAAACCAACTGTAAAAATTAGATCTAAGACTGAGATTATTCTCAATAAGTAAATTTATAATATTCCAACAAAATAATGATTTTATTTTCCTCCATGAACGAAAAATAAGCTAAATTCAACTCAACTATTCATGTTCCGAATATGAATACACTGTGGATCTGAGGTCTTAAGAAGATAGAAGGCAATAAAAGACAGCACAATGTGGTGAAAAAGGAGTTAGAGGACCTACCTTCAAATCTCAGCTCAGCTATTTATACTTGCTACTTATAGACTTTGTTTTTTCTTTGTTTTTTTAGTGAGGCAACTGGGGTTAAGTGACTTGCCCAGGGTCACACAGCTAATAAGTGTCAGATGTCTGAGGCCAGATTCAAACTTAGGTCCTCCTGACTCCAAGGCCAGAGCTCTATCCACTTCACCACCTAGCTGTCCTACTTAGAGACTTTGGACAAGTCACTTGGACTCTCCAGGTTTCATTTTCTTTATCTGTAAATTGAAGGAATTGAGTTAGATGTTTATTGTTTTGTTTGTTGTTTGTCCATTCTAATCCTGAAGATACATTCCAACTCTAGAGCCCAAGAAGCAAATTATTTTCTTGAGTATTCCTACAAACATTCTTTGATGCTTTACTTGGGAGAGATTAAAAAGAACTATGGAAAGAAATCTTCCAGGTGGCAGGTAGTATGAAAATTATTTTCTGCCATTTTATATTTAAGAAAACTGAGGCTCAGAGAGATTTGGTGATTTGCCCAAGGTCCCACTTTAGGATTCCAAGGAGCTCCAGACTCTTGGCAACAACCCACACCAAAATACTGTGCCCCTCCCACTGTCACCATTCTGCTATCTACATGGCTTCTGTTTATTTTTATGTATGTTCCTTGAAAGGTCTGGAATATCTTCAGTTCTGTTGGTGTATCCCTAGTACTTAGAACAATGTTCAGCCTGGAGGAAATGCTTATTAAGTCCTTTATCATTCATGAGGCAACTAGGATTGGGCTGTAAATCATCGGGAGACCTAAATTCAAATCTGGCCTCAGATACTTTGTAGTTATGTGACCCTGGGCAGGTCACTTAACCTATTTGCCTCAATTTCCTCATCTGTAAAAATGGGGATAATAACGGCTTTACCTTTCAAGGTTGTTGTGAGGATCAAACGAGATAATATTTGTAAAACACTTAGCACAGTGCCTGGCACATAGGAGACCCAATATAAATGTTAGCTATTTGGCATTATTATTATTACCATTCAATGCTTTTTCCATTGTGTCACATCTGTAGGATAATGGTTAGTGATCATGTCATTCACCATAAATAACTAAGTATTCAATAAAAGGGAAGGGGAAGGGAACAGGTATTAATTACTATAGACCAGGCACTGTGCTAAAACCTTTACAAATATCTCATTTCATCCTCCCAAAAACCCTCAGACATAGATGCTATTATTATCCTCATTGTATAGTTGAGAAAAGTGAGGCCAACAAAGTTAAGTGATTTGGCCAAGATTACAGCTAGTGAGTATCTGCCATCAAATTTGAACTCAGATCTTCCTGACTCTATTCCAGATCTTTTAATGATAAAGATACTATTAGGTGAGGAATTAGTGTATATGACAGTTTCTTTGAAAGAAAAGGATAAATTAAGAACCTAATAAGCTTCCATTATCATAAAAATTCTACCATCAGTGATCACACATAACTGATTAATCTCTGACTGTATTTAACATATACTTTTCTTCTAAAGCTCTCATATTTTCAACTTGAAAAGAAGCAATATCAGGATGATAGTGGTATTATAAACAATGTCAGTTTCTTATCTTACAACAGAAAACATAATTTCTTTTTAATAAACAAAATCCAGTACAATATTTTTCACTGTAACTACATATGCTGTACACTTCCCAGAAAACCAGTGGACATTTTTATCTTTGGAGTTAGCCAGATAGAAGAAGTTGAAAATGGAGTTAGCCAGATAGAAGAAGTTGAAAAGAACACAAGGAACCTTCATTTCCCTACTGTTTTGTTGAACAAAAGAGACTTGATTTTATCCCTCACTCCCAAGAATACATAAAATATATACCAGGCTCCTCAGCCACCAATCAAAATGCAAGTCAGTATGTAAACTGAACAATGAGAGCCTAGTGATGAGGCTTAAATGTATGCCTATCAACTAGAAGATACAACTGGGCTTACAGATACTCATTGAGCACCTCCTAGATACATAGCATTCTGCTAAATACAAACACTCCTGTGGGCTTAGAAATGAATTCTTTCTCGCAGAAAGTTTAATATGTTTCTTACTAACTCAGGTAGCATACTACCTCCCACTAAAATTGCTTGTATTAATGTAGCCAAGTCTCAAATGGAATATTTAGGGATGTTTAACACTCTGTGTCTTCAGATCTTTAAAATGCTTTGCACATATTTACACAGATGCTCTCTATATATTAGTCAATCAACACCATAAGATGTTAATTCCATTAATAGGGCCTAGGTCTCAACCTTCCAGCCCATGCTACTTCTTCAAGCATAAGATTTAAAAGACAGATTAGAAATTTATGGCACATCTTGCAGTTTGTAATATTTATTTAGTATACTGATCTCTTGATTGTGTTGAAGTCTTTGTTTATTCCATGTGTTCTTTTAAAGTACAAGTAAGGGTGCATTCTAAACTCAATTAGCTAAACCAGAATGTGCTTCAAGAAATAAGTATTTTATGTATTTTCTTAAGCATAAGCTGTTAAATTGATATGGACTGCCTATTTTCTCAGAAGAATATCTTTCTACTTTCAATACTTAATTAGCTTTAATATATGGTAATTACCAGCTGTTACAAAGAATGAATATGTCTACTGGCTTCTTCCTCTGGTGCTCAGAGGCTGTAATGACACATAAAGGGCAGAATGTGTAACAAATGGTATGTTCCTAGCACAGAGCCAGGAACCCAGTAGCTGTGTCACAATTATTCACCGACTAACTGATGCAAAATAGAGATTATGTATACAAGTTTCAGAATTGCATAAGATTCCAAGATGGATCCGGTGAGAATCACAGATCTACTCCAAATAAATAAACTCTCTCACTTTCTGATTCACCTGCATTGTCTAAGGCTGAGAAAATACAAGATCAACAGAATTCAATCAGCATTTGTTAAACACCTATCAAGTGCTTAAAGCCAATCTGCTGGCATAGTGGATAGAGTACCAGGCCTGAAGACTCAGTTTCCTGAGTTCAAATTCAATCTCAGACATTTCTAGCTGTGGGACCCTGGGCAAGTCTCTTAAACTTGTTCACCTCAGTTCTTCATCTGTAAAATGAGCTAAGAAGGAAATGGCAAATCACTCCAGCATCTTTGCAAAAAAACCAAAACAAAACGAATGGAGACATGAAGAATCTGACACAACTGAAAATGACTCAACAAGAATAACCACTGGGTGCTTGGGGAGTCATAAATTTTAGATTACTCAGCTTCTACTCAGATAGAATTTTTAGCCTAGTAGGAAAAGAAGACACAAACACAGATAACTATACAATTATATAAGCATTTTTAAAAAATCAGACCTATAAGTTCATTGAAATAGGGAATTCATGGTGAGAAAGCTCCCTCTACCAAAGCAGATTGATGCCTCGAAACTTAGAGTTTTCGAAGATTGTCCAGGGCTCCAAGGGTTTAAAGGACTTGCCCAGAATCACACAGGCAGGACGTGAATTCAGGTGTTCCTGAGTCTGTGACTGGTTCTCAATATACTACACTGTACTACCTGTAATTATACTAAAATAGTGTGAATAAAGTATAAAGAGGGTATTGGTAACAAGAGTACCATAGAAGACTTCATGAAAGATGTGGTCCTTGAATTGAACTTTAAAGGACGGATAAAGATTCACTAAGTAAAGAAGAGATGAGGCTATAATCTAAGCATCAACTCTCTCTCTCTCTCTCTCTCTCTCTCTCTCTCTCTCTCTCTCTCTCTCTCTCTCTCTCTCTCTCCGTATATACACACACACATACACACATATATGTATATATACATATGTATATATATGTGTATATATGTATGTGTGTGTATATATATAGGTGTGTATGTATGTGTGTATATATGTGTATATATATATGTATATATATATATATATATATATATATATATGTATACATATGAACCTGAACTTAATAATGTAAGAGGATACCAAGATAGAATAATGTCATGAAAAAACCCAAGGAATGACCTTCCTAATTCTACCTGCATATGTCTCTCATATTCATCCTTTCCTCTCCACTCACATAACTGCCACCTTAGTCCAGATCTGTCATCTAAAATAGCATCCTAAGTGGTTTCCCAACTAAATAGACAGGGAAAGGCTGCCCTGCTCCAAGCCTTTCCTATGTTCAATCCATCCTCCATATAGCTTCCAAAGCAATATTCCAGAAAAATAAGTCTGACCCATGGAGCAGCTAGGTGGCACAGTGGATCAGTGGATAGAGTGCTGACCCTGGAGTCAAAAGGACCTGAGTTCAAATCCAGCCTCACACAATTGACACTTACTAGCTGTGTGACCCTGGGCAAGTCACTTAACCCCATTTCTGGGGGGGGGGAGTGGGAAGAATAAATCTGACAATGTCCCTCCCATGATCAATAAGCTCTAAGATAAAATATAATCTCTGCTTGGCCTTTAAAGCTATTCATAATTTGGCTCCACCTTTACACATTAATTTCACATTATTCTACTTTATATACATTATGTTCCAGCTAAACTGGCCCACTTTCCTCATATGCAGCATTCCATTTCCATTTGCCTTATGCCTAGAATGTCATCTGACCTCTTATAATTCCTTCAGTGCTTAGTTCAAAAGCTGCCTGCTTCACAAGGCTTAAGCCTATCTCCCCCATTGCTAGTGCCCTCCCCACTTGGAAATCCCTTTTTTCTTATTTTGCATTTGCTTATCTCTGTACACATTGTTTCCAGCCAGTGGAATATAAACTCCTTCAGGGCAATTTTTTTTTAATCTCTAGCTCCTAGAATGGTACCTGACACATATTAGGTACTTAAATAAATGCTTGGTTAATAAATGAATGGATATAGGAAAATTTTGCTGAGCAAATACCCAGTCCATCCAATCAATTATTGGGTTCTTTTCCCAACTGATTCAGGTTGATTTGTTATCTAAACATGAGATAACGGAGTGAGGGAAAGGAAAGCCTATATCTTTTACCCTGTGGTACTTCTGACAGCTTTGGGGTTCACACTGATGAACTCAACAAGATCTTTTCCCCTAAAAGCACAAAAGAAAATGGTTAGATCAATGAATCAATGACAAGAATTCAGGGAACACCTGAATAAATTCAGGGATGTCTTGGATCCCAGGGCTCAAAACCTTAAAAGGGAATTGAAAACAACAGCAACAATGATATTCTCCACTTTTCTAAAACGCTTTCACATCTACTAACTTTATGCTGCTGAGAATCTTTTGAGGCCAGTAGGAGAGAGCTATTCTGTAGAGGTTTCTCCACTACATTTTTCTCAAGATGATAATTAGTATAACTACCTCCACCTTCTATTCCCTTATTATTTAAGGAACGAGAAAGCAAACATAGACTCATGTTCAAATACACTAAGTAGGCATGAGAATGTCATCAGCCAACAAGTTCTTTATCAGCTTTTCTAAAACTGTTTGCTGACCAAAGTTCCTTTTGGCTTGTTTGGGCTCACTGAAAGACTCCTCCTGTGTCCATTTTAGTTATGGCCGAGCTATGATGTAGCTGTTTAAGTGGATTTGTTGTGCAGAAATCTCTGTACTCAATTCAGTTGATTTTTGAGCATACATTTGAGAAAACTAGATCCGGAACCTGTGCGTATCTTACCCTGGAGGAGGTTTGTTTGCTGTTTGGTTCACTTTGATGAGATTATCCAAGTCTTGGTTTCTTAAAATATTAAAAAAAAAACAAAACAGATCAATTACACAGAAGGGCACGAAATAAATTCTAAGTGTTGAGCACAGAACTTGCATGCCATTTGATTTGATTAAATGCTTGCTGTTAGACGTATTAGCTTTTAATGATATTCTTCAGTCCTATGTAAAAACAGAAAGCCATTAAGATTTTGTTGACTCTTATTACATATGATGATTGCATTTTACTAGTTGGTTCAGTAAGTCTGACTCTCACTTGCAGAGCAAAATTTCTCCTTATTCACTCTCTCCTGCCAAACTTACACAAAGAGTAAGGGAAAAAAAGGAAATTATAATATGTATCAGCAAAGCATAAAAAAGATGCTGTAATATATAACTTTTTTTTTTGCTCCATCTGGGGACTGTGGAAATAAAATGAATATGTGCTGATTCTATATCCTATATATATATGTATATATAAAAATAGATATACATATGTGTATATACATACATGTGTACATACAATTATTCCTATATGATACATCTATATAAATGAATGTGGTAGTATATAATGTATATAGTGATACATATGTACAGTATATGCATATGTTTGTATATAAATATTGTAATAAGACTAAACACCCAAGCAAAATTGGTTTAATTCATTGCTTTAAACTCACACCTCATCTATCACATTCACCTCCCTTCACTTAAAGAGATAATTTTTATTTTACACTGTTTTCTTATTCCCTCCTAGCAACTTAATGTTGGGTTGCCAAAACATAAGATGGCTCTCGATTTTTTTTAATAGAGAGATGATCCATTAGTACATGTATTTTGTACAGATGCTACAGAGAGAAAAGGAGCTGGATCCAGAGTTGGACAGGGGAACGCATCTGGATTGCCTTTGGGAAATTACTTTGTACTTTTGTACCAAGCCTCACTGAAACAAAGACCCATTTATTTAATGATGTCCTTCTAATGATGTAGTATGGCTGCAAGTCTTAGAATGTCACAAGCTCCAAAGTATTAAAACTGGTTAGAACTCAAACAACCATGGATAGATGCATGGTATAAGGGGTAAGCAGGCTGCAGCAAGGTATCAATGGAAAATTGGGTAGATGGAATACATTAAGGATACCATGAGATAGATAGATGATTAGAAACAGGGGTAGGCTAATAATGTAAGAATAACCAATGAACAGTCCATATGCTCCATTGGTATCCACATAATGTAAGAAGGGCTAGAGGAAGGGTTCCAGGAAGTTTGGAGATCCCACTACAAAGGATTTATAAGCAGATACATACAAAACCAGACAAGGTGGGCAAACATGTATGGGTTATAAGCTGTACCACTAGAGGGAGTAGCCACATTGATGAGATCAACGATCCATTGAAATATGATCCTAGGTAGTACTGAAATGATGACGGTTATAGAAGAAGAACCAGAATGAGGAAAAGTAATGTGACACTTTGGGATTTTCCCATCAGCTTATTTTATTCCTACATGATCTTATTTCATCCTTTGAAGTGCTTATGATTTTGTTGGTATAGGTTTTTCATCTACCAGTGTGGGCTGAAATCTCTTTATAGTACACTATTTCAGAATTTCTGGAGAAAAAGAGGAAGGAAGGAAGGAAGGAAGGAAGGAAGGAAGGAAGGAAGGAAGGAAGGAAGGAAGGAAGGAAGGAAGGAAGGAAGGAAGGAAGAAGGAAGGAAGGAAGGAAGGAAGAAAGTAAAACACAGAAATTTAATTTAATTCCTTTCAGGAATAGTGGTTTGAGGAGGAGTGTCTCCTGACTACCCTGGCCCTCACTTGAACTTGCTCCATTTCTATCAAGAAGTTAGCAGGTATGTGTAGTCTTCTCTACAGTTTCCAGGATCATGGAGACCCATCTTTTGTATCTCCACCTGCCCATGACTATATATTTACTTAACTTTAAGAAATCTATATAGAGGATTGAAAGGAGGGCCCCTAGTCTCTGGTTAGGTCATGTGCTTCATACAAGCAAATAAAGGTGAAATTAGCTCTTTGTCTTATTTCTCAGGTATAATGTTCTGATGGACTAAAACACAGTCAAAGGAACATTAAAGTGAAAAAAAAAGGCAAAACAAATGGTCAGGGAAAGACAGTTACAGAACCATACAATTTTAGAGCTAAAAGGTAACTTGGAGATTATCTTATTCAATTTCATCTTTTTACAAATGGAAAAAACCAAGTCACAGAAAGGGTAAAGGTGGGGGGGAAAGGTGAGAGGGAATGAGTGAGTCTTATTCTCATTGAATTTGGCTTAACGAGGGAATAACATACACACTCAAATGGGTATGGAAATTTATCTTACCCTAAAGGAAAATGGGGGGGGACAAAAGAGCAGGGAGATGGTAGAGGGGAGGGAAGATTGGGGGAGGAGGTAATCAGAAGCAAACACTTCTAACGTGGGAAAGGGTCAAAAGACAGAATAGAATAAATAGGGGGCGGGATAAGATGAAAGGAAATATAGTTAGTTTTCCACAGCATGACTACTATGGAAGCGTTTTGCATGGCTATAACCTATATTGAATTGCTTGTCTTCACAATGAGGGTAGGTGGGGAGGGAGAAAGGGAAAAAATTGTTTTCACACACAACTGGGAAATAAGATATACAGGCAATGGGATATAGAAATCTGTCGTGCCCTACAGGAAAATTGAAGGGGAAGGGGACAGGAGAAGTGGGGGCAGAGATAGAAGGGAGGGCAGATTAGGGGAAGGGGTATTCAGAATGCATGCCATTTTGGGGTGGGAGGTGGGATGAGATGGGGAGAAAATCTGGAACTCAAAATATTGTGGAAGTGAATGTTGAAAACTAAAAATAAAGAAATAAAATTTAAAAAATAAAGGGGAAAAAAAAGAAAGGGTAAATGGACTTGTCCAAGGTTATACAGCTCATTAACAGCAGATATGGGACTAGAACCCAGGTCTCTTATGTCCCAGTTCATTATTCATTCTACTATACCACATTGCTTCTACTTATTCAAAAAAGAAAAAAAAACAGAAATAAAAAAAATTGATGTAAACCTTGAAAAACCAACCATCTATCTATATAATCAAAGGCCAATAGCAATATTTTGGTAATAAATTAACTGAAAAGCTTGAATTTTCTCAGGATTAAAAAGTCATTAAGTTTTCATACATTTTCGCAAAATTTTTATAAAATTTAGAGAAGCTCATTAAATCTTACCCCTGATCACCTTTTCCTGTTCTTGGATTTACTTTGATGAGATTATCAAGATCTTGGGATCTTTAAACATTTAAAAAACAAGTTCATGATAAGTAAAATTATGATAAATGCTTAACATTAACATTGGTATTATTAATAATTTACGTGAAGGGTAAGGTTGGAGGAAATTTATTACTAACATAATACTCTATTATATTTGGTAGTCTAGACCTAATTAAAGCAAACTGTCTAATATTAAAATTGATATACTTGTTTAAATTCCCATGTATTCCCAAAAGCTAAATTTTGTAAAATTCAGGCTTTAATTAAACAAATCAGTCGACTGATTTGTATAGTTGTGGCCAGCCAAAAAAGTCTCACTTGACCCCTCCAAATACTCCTTGTTAAGTCAAATTTGAACTTGAAGCACATTTTTCACTAGCAGATGGACCAAATTCTTTTTCATATCCTAAGAAAAGATTTCCATAAATCTTACCCCTGGATACTACTGTGGGTTGCAGGATTCACTTTGATTAGATTGTCCAGGTTTGAGCCCCTGTAAACAATGAAGAAAAGATCAGGTCAAACTCATATCAAGAAAATAACACATTTTCTAAAACTGAGAAATTCATAATGTTCATAGAAATAACCCCCAGAGGGCCAAATATTGTCAATGCATATATTCACATGTGTGAAGGAGTTCTTAATTTACCTGAAAGTCGGCCAGAAAAGCATCCAATTTCAGAATTTCAACTTGAATCACAGATACCATATTGAAACTCTGCTTTCCTCATGATATCTATTTTGTAATACCAAAATTCATTGCCACCTACCCTATGCCGAGGGGAACACATTGTTACCAAATCCAATGAGGAAGGGCAAACAGCAAGTGTCTTTAAGGCAACTTCAGAGAAACTTTATAACATGCAATGTTCCATGAAAACCTTGCTAATCAATCACAGAGCTCACTGTATAACTATATAACCAATTTCCTCTTTAATCTATTCAGCCTCTGCCTCTGTTTGTTTTATAACTTTGCACTAAGGCTACAAATGGTGGTTTGTGTTAGCAACAAACAATACAAGGATCAAAAGTAGTAATGGCTCTAGAAATGTGACAAATAATACCTTTAAATATGATATAATCACATCACTGAAAAAAACCATCATTGTCTCACTGTTCAGCCTTCAGTATGTGCCTACTTAGTGAAATTCTATGTTTTTTTTTATTACAACTACATATGTTTCCCACATACTGCAGTATCAGCAAGTCCTCCTCTGATGTACTGAGCCACCCAGCTGTGGAACATGAGTCCACATGTGGGCTTGCTTTTTATACCCTATTCTCTGCACACTATGATCCTGTGAAGACCAGACTGAAGACTATCTGAGGCTGTAACTACCAAACCTCAAACACTCAGATATTTGGAAACTTTCAGGTTTTTGAATGACATTATGTTTTCATCCAGATGTCTAAAATCATATAACTATATCCTGAAAGTAGAATCAACACTTTTGCACCTGATATATGGATAAATGGAGCTCTTTCTTCTCAGAGAAACCAGGGAGCAACCAATGGGGCAAGAAAGACATAATACCCGATCTTTTGCTAAATTAGTTCTGCTTTGCCTGGCATGATCCCAAGCTGGAGTGCTGTATGGAATATTGTTTGTTTGATTTTTTTTCTCAGAAGCCATAGGATTTGAATGTCACTACTTTCACAGAATTCAGTTCTGTTTTTTGAGCATGAATTTTAAAAAGATAAAGCAGGAAACTATAAATCTTACCCTGGAATATTTCTGTTTGCTGAGGGATTCTCTTTGATGTAACTGTCAAGCTCCTGACCCCTTCAAGTGAAAAATGAAGTTCTGATCAGAGGAAGTTAATGTCAAATACATACCTCACGGCATCAATAAATGAGTAGTGTGCAAACTTGAAGAGAACTCTGCTGCCCATGCTACATTTGAAATTTAATTCTCGGGGTGCAGATGGAGATATAGTTTTTGGACACATCTAATGTAGGAATTTGTTTTGACAATATACGTTTGTTACGATGTTTTTCTTTTTCTTTTTTTTTCTTTTTTCCCGGTGCAGATGTGAGAAAAGGAGGTGGGAAGTGGACGGTGGAGATAGGAGTGCATGAAAATGGATTTTTGTTCATTAAAAAAATTAAATTAAAAAGGCCTTACCAGACAAGTAATCTACGATTGGTCTTCAAAGCAAAAACATATATGGACAAAATAAACTACAGCTATCTTTCATTCAAAACCAAACCAAAACTAAACCTCTAATGAAATGCCTTCAAATGAAGGCAAGAGTAACAGTTCACACTTTGAAAAAAAAAACCTTAATAAAAATTGGAGAAAAGGTATGTGGGGTCCACTTATCGAGCCAAAATAAAACAGTGGGCTAAGCAATATTTAAATTATTGAAAAGATAGACTCCACCTAAATCACCTGAAGAGCAAATGTGTTTCCTTTGTTTACTAGAATGATTGTGGGACTAGAGATCTGTGGATCTGGACATGATATTCCACTGAAAACATCTCAGTTTGATGGTGGTCACACTACTAGCAATAGGAATAGGGATTGGGGTTATAACTTCACTGATATAGGAACCTTCTGGAGGAGGAAACTTCCTTTCCCAAAAGAGGCCAGCACCTGCTTGGCAGTATACAGTCTTATAGAGAGCTGCCTAGAGCATAGAGAGGTTAAGCGACTTGCCTAATGTTAATCAGAAAGTATGTGTCAGAAATGGGACTTGAACCTAGGTCTTCTAGGCTCCAAACACTGCCAGATATTAACCAAATACTGCCTTTCATTGCTTCTTCTTGTTGTTGTTGTTCAGTTGTGTCCAACTCTTCCTGACCCCATTTGGGGTTTTCTTGGCAAAGATACTGGCGTGGTTTCTCATTTCCTTGTCCAGCTCATTTTACATAAGAGGTAACAAGCAAACAGGTTAAGTGGCTTGCTCAAGGTCACACACAGCTGGTATGTGGTTGAGGCTGGTTTTGAACCCAGGAAGATGAGTATTCCTGCCTCCAGGCCCAGCACATAATCACAATGCCACCTAGCTGCCCCATACATATATTGTTTTAAAGTTTACAGAGTGTTTACAGAATTGTTTTAAAGTTTATAGAATGTTAAGGTTTACTACTCATTTGCACTTTGTAGTGTTTGTAAAATTCTTGGGGTTGTTCCAAAAGATCAAATGAAATTTTTGTGTGCATATGTATGTATGAAATTATATATATATATATATATATATATATATATATATATATATATATATATATAGTATGTATGTATTTGAAATTTGTATATATGTATGTATAGATGCGTGTACACATATCCCTATAAATACACACACACACACACACACACACATATATATATACATACACACATTTACACACACATACATAAATTTCATTTGATCTCTGGAACAACCCCAAGGATTTTATAAACGTTACAATATCCAAGTGAGGTCGTATATATATAACACATTTTGTAAACTTTAGAACACTATACAAATGTGAGCTACTCTTACTGTTATTGTCATTATGCCTACCTTACAGATAAGGGAGCTAAGCCTCTGGGGGTTTAAGTATTTGAGCAGCATCATGTAAAAATAAAATTTCAGAGCTGATACTCAATGCACAGCTCCAATTCTGACAGTCTCCAGAGTAAAGACTGACGATAGGTTGAATTCCACTACCCAGCATGAAAGAAAACCTTTGGATTAAACTGAGGTTTAAGAGGTAGAAGCCCTTGAATAAATGAATACATGAAACATTCAATTTGATTTAAAAAAAAAACCTAAGACCAAAAATCCTGTTTAACCTTTCAAAATAATAAGAAAAATAACAGCTCATCTTTGTGTAGCACTTTTCTGCTTACAATATTGTTGTATTGTGTTGTGTTGTGTTTTCCTCTCTGTGCAACCCTGTGGAGTGAGTAGCACAAGTATTTTATTGATTAGAGTATTGAATCTAAACTTAAAGAGAGTTAGGAAATTGGCCAAGATCATATAGCCTTTTAGTGGTGGAAAGCGGACATAGCAGAGTAGAATATAAAGTCCCTGAGAGTAGGAACTGTCTCATTTTTGTGTTTGTTTTGTTTTTTGTATTTCCAGTTCTTAGTACAGTGCCTTGAATAAAAATTTGATTTTTATTGTTGTTGAGTTTCCGCTGTATCAGACACTTTGTGACCCCATTTGGAGTTTTCTTGGCAAAGATATTGGAGTAGTTTGCTATTTCTGTCTCCAGCTTATTTTACGGATGAGGAAACTGAGGTGCACAGGGTTAAGTGATTTGCCCAAGGTCCCGTACCTGGTGTCTCAGGAAGATGAGTATTCCCGACTCCAGGCCTGGCACTTTACCCAATGTACCACCTAGCTGCCTATAAACACTTAATAATATTTGTGTTAAATAGAATTGAACCTCATATCTTCTGATTGCAAAGCGAGGCTTCTTTCCACTCCACTAATTTGTGTCTCTCAAACACCATACCAGATAGCTACAAGCTATACCAAAGCACAAAATGCACCATGCTATTTGAATTTATCAATCACATTTAGATTTCCAGTGTGTTTTCATTTTGAAACGCAAGTGCTCAATTTGAGCTTGAGCTTCCCTGATTCTATTTCAACCTTCCCAGATTAAACAATCAAATTCTAATGCATTTATATAGGCACAAGAAAGAGTAAACAGCTCCACATGTCCTACCTCTGGGTATTTTTGTTTCTTTCAGTGTTCACTTTGATGACACTATCAATATCTTGTTTTCTTTAAACAAAAAGAGAGGTTCCAGTTAGTGATGGTCAGCTGGAATATATTCTAAAATATGAACAATGCCTTAATTTAAGAAATAGTAAATATACACTTTCTCTAAAACAGTATATAAATTCTGGAATATTGAGTGTCAGGGAACATCATACCAGAACTATCTCCTAAGAAAAATGAGTAATATGATACCCCTTTTAACCTCAGGACAAATAATGACCATTACCTGTTAATTTATTATGTAATGATTTATTTTAACAATTTTTAAATTTCTTATTTAACAAAAACAACCTTATTCAAAGATATATCCCTTTTGTTGAGCCCAAAATGGGCATTGTAAAAATAACCATGCTTTGCTGTATGGAGATATAGCAAATCACTATTCAACGAAGTAGATATAATTAACTATTCCATTTTTAAATAATAAGGATGTTATTTTAAGATGATTGGTTTTATTATGCTCCTCATTCTCACTCAGTTCCATTCACCACAGAAATAGACCAAGGTCCTTATTATAATGACAAAGGAAAAGAAAGGAGAACTTACATTGCACCCCATTACCTTCTTGTCATCTGCCTGACCTACTGCTATACTCCCCAGATCATAAGACCTTCAAAGACCATGCTTCAAGTTAATTCCCTTGGGAGACTTAACTCTGTCATTTCTGGAATTCCTGCCCTGCCCTGTCCTGCACTATCTTGGTTGATAAGTTCATGTAGTTCATTATATCTAGCCAAACCCAACCATGCATCATATTCCACCTATAGGATATCTTCTTGCCATATGCCCTATCGTATGTACCTTCCTTTCTCTTTCCTTACCCTGCCCTCATACTTTCTAGCTCTAGGACCTTGATCAAATCTTCAATTTCTACTGGAAAAGATATGTCAACAACTCCCCTCTGGCTCCACTTATCATCCCTATGGCTTTCTAAACCAAAACACCCTTCTCTGGCCACCACTGCCATCTATCTCTCTATCTATCTCTCTATAAATACATACATACATGTGTATATATGTATATACACATACATGTATACACACATATACATTTGTTTGTGTGTAGATACATAGATACATAGATAGATAGAGTCTTCCCTCATTAGAATGTGAACTCTTTCAGGTTTTGTTTCTATTTCTAGCTTTATCATATAGTATTTGGCACACAGTACATGTTTTCATTTGTCATTGAAGGTAAGAGAATTAATTCATCTCATGTATCAGGGGGCCACAGAAACCTCATGCATAGAGGTATTATTTAGTTCCATAAAGAATATTATCTAGGATGAATAGAGGAAGCAGTAGAAGGTATGGATATTATAGATTATCCAATATAATAGCCACATTTATGCTATCTAGAAGAAGAAGAAAGCTTTACCCTAACTATGGTGGCCATTTCCATCCCTAAAAGAACATCAAAAGTCTAGCTTCTAGTCCTACAGAGAAGACCAAATCATCCCCTTAATCTGAGCTACACTATTCGCAGAAACCAGTTATTATATGCCACCTGATTTATAATAATAGCTAACATTTATATACTTCAAGGTTTACCAAGTGCTCTGCACATATTATCTCAACTGATAACTATGACTCCTAGAGTTACTCCACCTCACTTGGATAAAAGTAGGTTCCAGTTAGAGATAGTCAGCTAATATTATTAATCATGAGTACAAACAAGGCTTTTAAGTTTAGAAATGCCCCTAAAAAGCCAATTTCATTTTTCCTTTGACTATCCCATAGAGATGAGGAGCAAGTAGGTCTTACCCAGTGATATTTTCATTCTGATTGGGTTTCACTTTGACGAGATTATCCAGAGCTTGATCTCTTTTTGAAAAAAATGATTTAAATTAAGTAACCCAGTACTAAATAGGTGTTTGTCATTTTTGTTTTATTTTAGATGCTGTAAGGAATATCACCCTGGGACTCAGAATCACAGAATCTCCAAATTAGAGTATACTTCTGAAATCATCTAGAACCACCAGATCTGAATCCATGATATCCCCAACAAGGGATCAACCAGCCTTTCCCAGTTGTGAAACCTGTAGTCAGGGGGAACCCATTACCTCCCAGAGAAGTCTATGGCCCTCAATTGTTAAAGAGTTTTCATTACCAAGAACCTAAATTCTCCTCTTTTGCAACTTCCCCAACATTGTTCCTAGTTTTGTCTTCTGGGGCCAAGGAGAACAAGCCTGAATCCCTCTTGCAAGTGATAGCTCTTCACATACACGAATAAAGCCATCATATCCTCCTGAAGTCTTCTCTTCTTCAGGCTACACATTCCCAGTACCTTCAACTGATCCTCATTTGTGCTACTTCCTATATGAAGTTTTTTCTGACTCACTGCCTCCCATGTAGTTGTGACTCCTAAAAATTATTTTATGCTACTGTATGTATGTAAATGGGTGTGAACATATCTATGTTATATACATTTACACATATATGTGTATATTTATGTCTATATCTATTTAATTTAGTTATGCCAATGCCCAGGAAAGGGGAAGATTTAGGCTACCTTTTAAGATCTCAAAAGACCAAGAGAAGATTATAAACAGTAACAGCTATATTGTTTTAAGAACAATTTTCAGCGAATAAGTCATTTTGACTATTATAAATACTCAAATTAACAATAAAGGATGTATGAAGAAAGATGCTATCTGCATACAGAGAAAGTGCTGATAAATAGAAGTATGTATGGAATAATTTTTCATATATATGTATATGTATGTATGTATATCTATCTATACATCTGTCTTAGCTGGAAGGGGGGGTGGAGACAGGGAAGAAAAAAATGATAATTTTCTTATATATTTAAATGGAATATAGCAAGTTGTACATAATAGATTTGCAGTTTCATGTGCAACAATATTGTTATGGATATGTTTATTTTATTCCGTAAATTGAAAACAAAATACATTTTTAAAAATTAAAAAAATATTAAAAGGCCATGTATCAAAAGAAAAGAAAACACAAACAAGAGAAGGCCCCATTCTAGATACAGGCTTGCCTAGAAAACCATTAGCCCATGGCTGGAAAGCTAGTAGGTGATAGGACATCCCCCCTTCCCCCCCCATACACACACACACACACACACACACACACACAGACATTCTTTAGAACTCAGAGAGTTATCCTTACACTAAGCTGACAAAAAGGAAGATCCTGAAGGGTGGATCCAATTAAATGAGTTTGCTTAGCCATCAGGAAGCAGAGGGGAAAAAAGGAGGAAAAAAAGGAAAAAAAAGAAATTTACATGCTATTATATATTTAAAAGGAATAACAAGTTGTACATAATTTATTTGCAGTTCCATGTGTAATCATCTTTTTTATTATACTATGTTATGGAAATGCTTTTTTATTCCATAAATTAAAAATAAAAATAAAATAGAAAAAAGAAATTTAAAAAGAAGATAGAAAGGGCCAAGTTGTGAAGGGCTTTAAAAGCAAACAGAGAGGGCAGCTAGGTGGTGCAGTGGATAGAGCACTGGCCCTGTAGTCATTAGGACCTGAGTTCAAATCTGCTCAGACGCATAACACTCACTAGCTGTGTGACCCGGGGCAAGTCACTTAATCCCATCGCCCAACCAAAAATAAATAAATAAACAGAGGATTTTATATTTTAAACAATAGGGAGCCCCTGGAATTGTGTGTGTGTGAAACATGGTCAGACCTAGACTTCAGAAAAATTACTTTGGCAGCTGAATGAAAGATGGATTGGAGGGGGAAAGGCTTGATCAGGGAGACAAATAAGAATGCTACTGTAATAGCCCAGGTGAGAGATGATGAGGGCCTGTACTAGGATGGTGGCTATATGAGTAGAGAGGAGGGAACATATACAAGAGATGTTGTGGAGGTAGAAAGTCTTAGAAACAGGCTGTATATGTACAATAAGTGAAAGTGAAGAGTCTATGATGAAGATAATAATAACAACAATAATAATTGCAAGTATAATAAGTGCCAGGTACTTTGCTACACACTATCTCATTGAAGGCCCGGGTGATTGGGAGAATGGTGGTACTCTTGATATTAATAGGGAAGTATGGCGGAAGGGAGGGTTTTGGAGGAAAGAGAATGTGTTCTACATTTGACTTTTTGATTTTGATATGCCTTTGGACATCAAGTTAGAGATGTCCAAAAGACAATTGTGATGAAAGGCTGGCGCTCAGGAGAGAGTTCAGGGCTGGATGTAGAAATCTTCATAGAGTTGATAGTTGAACCTATGAAAGCTAATGATCCTGTAACAAAAAACTCGGTATCCATAAATTGACCATAGACTACCATAGATATTAAATTCGTGATCAAAAATAGTTAGGAATATGACATGGGAATCTGAAGTCTATTAAAAGATAAATCCTGACAGTATCACTTAGATCACATATAAAAATGGGAACAATTGCCCTGGGTTAAGGTATATCTCACCAGCTCTTACCCTTTTCCATTTTTATCTGTCTTGGCATTCACTTCAATGATGCTGTCAAAGTCCTGACTTCTTTAATAAATATATTTTTTTAAAAATCATGTTAGTAATGTCACATACAACAACCTCTTAGATCAATGTTAACTTCAAATATCCACCCAGCTCCTGAAGTAATACTAGATGCCCCTAGAATGAAAATGATCAGTGAAGACTTTTGACTTGATTATTGTAACCTGTGTTGATAATGATGTCAAGTTAAAGTCTTCCACTGTATAAGTCTCAGTCTGAACTAACACTCGGTTATATCCATTTTAAAAACAAAAATTTCCATTAAGCCTTACTCTAAATAAAACTACTAAAGCTTAGATTCTTTATTAAGTGTGAGCTATTAAAAAAAAGTTTCAAAAACCAGATCTTCTATACTATCTTTAAATAAAAGCAATAATGGTAATAATAATTTGTTGTTCAGTTGTTTTAGTCACGTTCAACTCTTTGTGACCCCATTTTGGGCTTTCTTGGCAAAGATACTGGAGTGGCTTGCCATTTTCTTCTCCAACTCATTTTACAGATGAGGAAACTGAGGAAACAAGGTTATTTGCTTTGGGTCATACCGCATTTGAACTCAGGTCTTCCTGTCTCCAGGCCTGACACTCTATCCACCATGCCACCTAATTGCCTCAATTGTTATTACATGGTCTTATTTAATGTACATTATGTGTACAATACCTGGCATGTCTGTCTAGCTTTGTGTATCAGAAGAAAGAATAATTGTGGCTAAGAAAAATAGTGCTATTGGGAATTTCTTGATTAGTAAAGTCCTTCTACCAATGTAAGTCAGCACCTTTCCCTGTTGCTTAAAGAATCTTAAAATTTGCCTGGGGTCCTTAGGTCAAATGATTTCCCCAGAGTCATACATTCAATATTTGGCAGGACTTGAACCCAAGTCTTCCTGGCTCTGAGGCTGATTTTCCCCCACTACATTTCCTCTTCCTTCCTTCCTTTCCTCCCTCCCTCCTTCCCTCCTTCCCTCCCTTCTTCCCTTCCTTCCTTTTTCTCCTCTCTCTCTCTCTGTCCACATAGGGAGTCATACCCTTACCTGAAGGTGTTCTACCCAAAGAAATATAAATTTTGGTTGCTGAAACCTAGCAAGATATCTTGGGGTCTGTGGGCTAGATTTCTTTTTTATGGACCACACCTTAAACCCAAATCACTCTGGCTCTCATTGATTGGCCAACAATGGCTCCCAGACCAAGCTTTACTTGGTTCTTGTTTGGATTCTGATGGCTCAGAGTGAGTGTAAATAGTGATTGTTTTTGTTTTGGCCAGAAACCCTGAGAGTCTTTCCCTCTCAGATTGATTTTATTTTTTTGATTAGGTAAAAGAGGCCATTTTTTGCCTCATTTTTACCTAGCCTCAATCACTGAATGGGCATTGCCTCAGACAAATTGAGACCTGGGAAAGACCTTAACTTAAAAAGGCCAAGGTCTCCCCTGCATCTGGGGCCACCTCCAGTCATCCTGATCTATATCTTGCCACTGGACCCAGATAGCTCTAAAGGAGAAAGTGAAGCCAGTGACTTTGCATAGCCCTCCTTCACTTAAATCCAGTTCACTTGCATGTCATGGCATCTTCTCCCTGTCATGTCATGATTCTCTTCCAGAACGAAGGACAAACAACAACAATAAAAATGATAACTCACATGAAGTACTAAGTCCCCTCCTACTTCTCTAGTCTTCTTATACTTTATTCCTCACCATGTATTCTTTGATCTAGTGACACTGGCCTCCTTGCTGTTCCATTTGGACATTTTTTTTCTGCTGCCCCCCATGCCCATTTCTACCCTCCTTATCTCTGCGTACTGGCTTCCCTGTCTTCCTTCAAGTCCCAGCTAAAACCCCATCTTCTACAGGAAGCTTTTCCCAAGCCATTTTAATTCTAGTAACTTCCTTCTCTTAATTATTTTGTATTTATCCAATAAATAGCTTATCTGTATGTATTTGTTTGCTTCTTGTTTCTCCTATTCGATTTTGAGCTACTTGACAGCAGGATTTTTTTTTTTGCTTCTTTTTGTATCTCCAGTGCTTAGCACAATGCCAGGTGCATAGTAGGTGTTTAATAAATATTTATTGACAGATATAGTACTTTCAAGTATAAGCACTTTTCCCACAACAATTCTGTGAGGTAGCTAGTTTTTTCATTTGAGGAAACCAAGACACAAAACGATGATATGAAATGAAAAAAGCAAAGATATTGACCTAGGAAATAATCCCAACAAATTAGGAGTCTTACTTTTTGTCATTACTGTCTGTTGTGTGATTCACTTTAATTAGGTTGTCAAGTCCTTGGTTTCTTTAAAGATATCAAGAAAAAAAATATGTCAAGTTAGTGTTGTTACGTCATTTAACTTTTGTCAGCAGCATTCAGGAGAGCCTCTTGACCCATTAAGTGATCAGATGTTTCCAGAGCTACAATAAGGCAGAGGTAATTGGGGCTTTGCTTGGGGTGTCAAAATTTACAGGAAGTACCTGTAACCCGTTAGCTGGTAGAAACCACTGAATTTAGTACCAAACAATATTAATTAGTATAAATAGGAAGGTACCAGATGATATGCTTACTTTCCCCAATATCTATACTCTAGGTGATCCCTGGCATGGCTGTACCCTAAAGGGGCCTATCTAGCAGAGGTTTCCTTGTGTACCAGTCACTGACCCCTGAGCTAATATTCCTGTCCAGCATTCTCTTTCTTCCCCAACTTTATGGTTTCTCCTTGATTCTCTCACTCCCCTCCCCCGCCATTGCTTCCCCTAAACCTCTTTTGCAGTGTTGTTCTGGTTGCCAGACTTATTGAATAACGCCTATGAGTGCTCCCAAAACCAAAAAATCCTATTGTCCTTTGAAATACTTAATTCATTGAATTGTCTTTGCTGTTCACTGTACAGAACTGGCAACAGTCTAAAAGCGCTGTGCTGAAAATCTCCTCCAGCAACTAATATCCAGCAATTTAAATGAATCAATTTAGAAGTGAATTCATCACCAAGCCTTACCCTTTGTCATCTTTGTCCTTGATGAGTTTGTCAAGGTTTTGGTTTCTAAATTTAAACATGAAAATAATTCAAATCAGTGATATCATGAGAAAAGAACTATGATTTTAAAACTGAATTTTTTCAAAAATTCAGAAAAAGACATTTCTTATGAATAGTTCAAGTGTAGCAATATTGAATAGCTAAGTAGAAACTGAAACTTTTATGTCCATCATGACTGAACTTTGATAAATGAAAAACCTCATATTTCTCTATTGCATATACACATAAATTTTTATACCAAATGACAGAATCTTCATATGCCTAATGCTTAAAAACAGTCAATATGAAAGATAATCCCACAAAATCACATTATTGATTGATTCTTACCCTTTGCCACTTTCATCAATCCTGGCCTTCACTTTAATCATATTGTCAAGATTTTCATTTCTTTAAATATAAAAAATAAAAGTGATTTCATTCATTCAACAAACATGTATCAGGTATTAACTACATAAGAGGAACTTTACTAATGAATAGCTATTACACTCAATTTGTTACTTTGTCCATTTCACATTTTATTCTTTTAACTTTATAATGTTTTTCATTGACACATGGGAACTGAACTAAGTGACTAATTCCTAATTCAAGTCCCACTAAATATCTAGTCAAGTGATATCAATATCACTTTTCTCATCTCTCCATACGACCAATTCTGTTACTTACATATCTCTCTTTTTGCGCACCTGTTCTATTCTCACCATATTCTTGCAATATCTTTCTTCTCTCAAAGACTTGGTATTATGTCATTCAAATTCTTGAAATCTGACCCCTCCCATGAACTTTGCTGAACTATAAGTAGAAGATAGGATAACCTACCCTATCTGAAAATGAAATTGCCTTAACAACCTATTTCTTTCCATTAGACACAGTTAATCTTTAACCTTGTTTGCACTTCTATTTAACATAATTACAATAGATCCTTTTAACATTTGTACAAATGCTCTTGTTCATGTATGTGTGGGTTTTTGTTTGTTTTCACATTGTCTCCATCCTCATTAAGGGCTTTAATTCCTAGAGATGGAGACAAGCTATGTCTGGCAAGGTCAATTTGAACACAAACAGTATTCCAATGTCCATAGGTTTTTAAAAATGACAGCAACAATTATGATGATAAAATTGTTTACTGACTGATAAAAATACAAGTAAATAGTCAATATGAAAAATGCAATAACCAAACTAATAGAAAACTCATCCATTCTTACCCTTTGCCATTTTTGTCACTTCTGGGGTTGACTTTAATGAGATTATCAAGCTCCTGGTTTCTTTAAACATGAAAAAAATTAATAAAAATCACTGTCCATTATATCAATTAACAGTCTAGGATATAAATTATGTCAGATTATGTAATAATCATTTACTGACCACTTTATTCAGGGTTTTGGTGGGGTTGGCAGGGGGTATAAAATGATACAAGACATGCAACTTTAGAGTTAGAAGGGACTCTAAATTTAAAAAAAAAATCTCTTCCAACTTCCACACTTAAAAATGAGAAAACAGAGACCTGGAAAGTTTGAGTGGCATGCCTCAGGTCTTACAAATATGTTAGAGACCCAGGAACAGGGCCTAGCTTTCCTAAGTTTCTGCCCAGAGCTAATTAGACTACAGCTTTAGAGCTGGAAGAGAACTCAGAGGTTATATACTCCAACTCCTTAATTGTTCAAATAAGAAACTTCAGGCCAAAGAGGTGAAACTTCATTTCACTTGAGAATTGGTGACTTGCCCAAGGGTTACATAGGTAAATAAATAATCTGGAATTTGAACCCAGGTTCTCAGACTCCAAATGTAGTGTTCTTCCTATTGCCTCTCTTTATTTGCCCTTAAGGAGCTTAGAGATATGGTTGGGGAAACAAAAAAATAACAGGTGATATGACAGGACCAATTACAAAGTCAGTCAATCAATAAATATTTGTTAAGTACCTACTGTGTGCTAGGCACTATGCTAAGTGCTGAGGATTCAAAAATCAGTTGCAATGTAAACAACCAGATCCAAATACACAATATAAGAAAAATAGTTCACTAAATAGGATGTAGAATAAAAGAGTGATCAACAATGCTGCGTATGTGTAGAGTGGGGGAAGGGATAGGGAAAGGGGGAGGGTTCCCCAACAGAAAAATGCCCTGCAGATCCTAACTATATTTAGTTCACTGGACTGACCCATTAGTGTTCATTATATATAACTAATATCTAGTTTGCATGGAGCTTGTATTTTAAGGAGATAAAATACTGACTTAGATAGCTGTAATATATATTATCACATAAGAGGGTTAAAAAAAAAAGAAGTGTCATATGAGATCTGAGGAGGAAAGTTTCTAAAGAAACATAATCACACCACAAATAAATGAATAAGTCTTTTAAATCTACAGTATCCTTTTAGTATTTCTATGCCAGGAAACAAAATTCCCCTTTAATTAAAGATTACAGGACTGAAAGAAACTGTCTGGATGATAATATATCTAAATTAAGAGATAAATCAAGTCTTACTTTTTATCAGTTTGTTCTGCCTTAGGATTTGTTCTGAAAATGCCATCCAAGCCTTGGTTCCTTTAAACATAAATATAAACACACACACACACACACACACACACACACACACACACACACATACATCAACCTATAGTCAATGGTAGCATAGTCACTTAATTTGGCAATAACATTAAATTCAAGAGATTGAAGATTAAAATCAGTTTGGAATAAATGGCCCAACTAACAATTTCTAAAGACCATGGTACAGCAATCCTTGAATGTATTGAGCTTCAGACTGAAGCTCAAGAAGGTTGTCACTTATTCCAGGTCCCACAGCTAATTAGTAGCAGAACTGGGACTAGAATCCAAACCTACTAATTAATTGCTAATCCCTAGCTCAATACTTTATTTTTCTGCTTTGCTTTTATTAAAACTGCCTTTTTGTTTTGGTTAACATTTTTAAAGTTTGCTTTGCACTTTTCTCATTCATTCATTCTAATTCTGTACGCTAAAAGTTATTTTAGCATATTCTTGCTAAATTCTTGAAAGTTAACATTGAACACAAATTAAATCATTCACTACTGCCTCATAACATTTAGGGTAAGAGATACAGAACCAGGAAATAATACACAAAATGGTTGCAATAATACAAATGACAATAAGACTAAAAGGCAACTGAACTCAGATTAATTGCAATAACCAATCTTCATACTATTGGATAGGTGAGGAAACATATTTAACTCATCTTAGAAGAGAGATAACTAGGTGTCAAAGGATAGATTTAGAGCTGAAAGGTCTTGTACATCATCCGGCTCAACTGCTTATCTTAGAGATGAAGAAAAGGTGTCCTTGAAGAGTGAAACCACTTGTCCAAGGTCATGCAGGTGACAAATATCAGAGTTGGTTGGGGGACCACAGGTATAGAATGTTATATATGCTATCCCAGCTGTTTTGTTGATCAATTTTGCTTAACTTCTTAACTTTGTTATAAGGGAAGATTCCATAGGTAGAGCATACGATGGGAAATTCCCATGGTATAAAAAAAATGGCTTAAACTGAAGTTCAATTAAAATTTAAAAAACAAAATAGGCAGATAATACTTATTGAAATAATAAATGTTCTGTTAGAGTCTGATCTACAGTGGCAACAGTGCCCATTTACCAAACCAAGCCAGACATATATGTTAATGGGAAAAGATATTTACAGTCTTCACCTTCAACTCCATAACAATAAACAAACACAATAAAAAAATCTATACTTAGTAATCCTAGATTTTTTTTAAAGCTACATATGCTTTTGATATTCCAAATCAATAGCTCTTTTAGATTTTCGCATACATGGCTGCTATTAAGGTATTTGTAGGTTGCTTTTCTTAGAGCCAGTGCATTTCCCATTATACTGACACACAAATCTCACATAAAGAGCCACAATGGATTCTGTTTAAAAAAAAAAACAAAAAAAACCCAAGCTCTTTTAAATCTTACCTATTCATGTTTTTGTTCATTTTGATGAGATTATCCAAGTCTTGACTTCTGGGAAAAAAAAGAAATCCACCATCAATGAAAATCTACCCAACAACAAACTAGGTCTAATTGTGAATTCAATTTACTGGAACTATTCAATCAATTTATAATCTATAAAGGGAAAATTCCAACAAAAACATAATGCTTTAGATTTTCCAGATGACCCTTCGAAAAGATAATTACAAATAAGTAAACAATGGCAATTTACTCTCTTGTCTAAATCTCTTTCTATGGATATGAAAGGTTCTCATAATAAGGTAACAACAATGAAGATTTATTTTACCTTCACTCATCACCTCTAAGGATTTTCTATGAAGGTAAAGTGAAACAGAGATAAAGTAAATTGATATTTTAGTTTCTTTAGCTGGGAAAGCATCTCAATATAGAACACTTTAGAGAACTAACTGTAAGAAGTCTCTGAAAGTAGTCGGGAAAATTCTGACCTGAGGAGGCTGAATAACTGTCTTCTTTCTTAAAATTGGCATTGATTCCAGAAAATTCAGCTGTGATTAACAGATTCAGTTCAAGGTGACTAAGTCTAATCAGAAACCAAGCTCATTTCAGGCAGGAAACAATGAGCTAATCTTAAAGGCACCTCCAAGAACTTAATTATTTTTTTAAAAAACATTTTTATTATTTGCCGATAAATTGATACTTGACAGATAGTAAACAAAACAGTCACTTCCACTGACAGCAGAACCAAAAAGGAGAGCTGTTCATGGAATTGCAGATCTCATATGCGAGTTTGGTTTTCTGTTTAAGGATATAAGTTCAATATGTAGCTTTCAAAGCTGTCCTGCTTGCCTGGACTTCTTTCTGATTTTCCTTCTTTTTTCTTCTTTAAAAAAAGAAAATTGCCTCAATGGCCCCCTTTTCTTTCCTTTTCTTATTTTGCTACTCTATCCTTCCTAAATCTCCCTTCCAAAGTGGAAGGCAGGGAGGGAGGGAGAGAGGAAGGAAAGAAGGGAGGAAGGGAGAAGAGATTAAGGGAGGAAAGAAGGAAGGAGGGAAGAAGGAAAGAAGAAAGGGAGATTTAAATAATTTAAACTATTGGGAATGGCCCCTGACTATTACAGCCGTATAACAAAACCCAACAGTAGGCTCTTATATTCGTCACTGCTCTTGTCTGCTGTTACCACATAAGGAACTAGGGGGATTATTATCTCTATACTTTGATCTTTTAAGCCCAAAGCTTTTCCCCTTACGTCTGTTTCATACTCTTTTTCTTCAGTAAGTCATCATTACATTTACAGCTACAGCACAAGAAACTTCTTTACCAAAACATAAGAAATCAAGAAATCTTGGAACAAGTTGCATTTTTTTTTTTACTAAATCTGATGTTTCATCCATGTAGTGGACTCTTTACTAACCCAGACTGGAAAATATTCTGCCATTTACAGTTTTAACAAGGTGCCTGGTACACTTAATAAATGCTTGTTGACTGGTTGTTTGATTTAGAGATTTTCCTGGGGCACTTCGTTTAAGTGACTTGTCCAGAATCACAGAGTTGGTATATTTCAGAGATAGGACTTGAATCCAGGTTATTCTGACTCCTGGGCCAGCCCTCTATCCATTATGTCACACTTCCTCTTTACAAGCTACATTAAGGCAGACAAATTAAACAGAAAACTACATCTATTTTCAGGAGGAATAGTATTTTCGACATTTGTTGATTGTTCTGAGGCTTTGTCCAGTGGTGTGCTGGAGCCAACTTGAGCTGGCTTGCAAAAACCAACGGTTAAATTTTCAATGAAAGCATTTACACCACAGAAATTAGCAAATACTACAAATCAGAGCTTGATTTATTGTTTGGTTGATTATCCAAACTTTAGAAAGTGGTGGAGAAAATGTTAATAATACAGAGTTGAAAGTATGTTGTGGGAACATTTGGTGGGGATTGGGTGGTGGGGGGGGGATAGGTTGTTAAACATTTACCAGCACTCTTGGCCTTCTCTACTGGTCTACTTCAAGCCCTTTGAACTCTGCTTCTGAGTAACCAATTCTCTTAGAAAATGAAGTCCTTTCTGATTGTTTCTCTAGAGATAAATCTTGAATTAAGGCTGAAGCTGCTTTCTCCCTGATACCAGGAGTGGATAGCTCTATACTGTGCAGGATCCCAAACCCAGAACCTTTTGAAGTGGTTTCTTTTCACTAGATGTCCATCCTAGGTTAAAAATCTACAAAAATGTTTTTCCTACCCCCATATTTTATTAACAACTCATCCTTTATGGCTCTTCATATCTCTTTTCCTCACCCATATCATCTGTCCTCTAACCTTGGTCCACAATTGATTCCCCAGAGCTCTATCAACACCAAGTTGTCTCTCACATTTTTCAGTTTGTTTTCTCCTTATCCATCCTAATCCCAGGTGATCATTTACTTAACAAAAAATGTATATTTATAAAGTAGCATGAACTTATCATAAAGCTTGCTTTCAGACCAAGTGACTGCCATTTTGATGCATATAAATGTAATGGGGGAAGTGGGTTTCATCATAGCTGCATCCCAGAGTTGACCTTGAATAGGGGGATTCCAGGGGCTCCTTGAGTCCCTTCACCTCTGTTTGCTGAATTGTTCTTGCACTAGAAAGGTGCCTGGTACAATAGTATAACAGTCTAAGCAGATCCTTTCATGCCTTTGACAATATGGTAATTTAGAAACCGCCACAGAATTGAATCCTTTAAAGTGTATTATTTGTTCAATGGTGGGATTGATGACTGAGAACAAACAAAAGAAGAGCCAAAGCTGCTGCCCCTGTCATAAATTTGATTACCACTGTATGCTTGTTCAGAACAAATGATATCCATTCCCCTGACACACTACTCCATTGTTATTTTTCCTTACTTTAAATTCTACTGACTAACATCTAAATTGTTGAATCTTTCTGTATCAGCTGGGGAAAGATGAAACATAGAAGCTCTATAAATCTTACTCCTTGTTCTTTATGATTATGCTGCTATAGATCTGGACAAGACTGCCAAGATCTCTCTCTGTCTGTCTGTCTCCATCTCTGTCTCTGTCACTTTGTCTCTGTCTCTCTCTGTGTGTCTGTGTGTCTGTCTGTCTCTGTCTCTGTCTCTGTCTCTCTCTGTCTCTCTCTCTGTCTCTCTGTCTCTCTCTCTCTCTCTCTCCCTCTCTCTCTCTCTCTCTCTCTCTCTCTCTCTCTCTCTCTCTCTCTACCTATCTCTATCTCTTTCTCTCTCTCTGTCTCAAAATGAAATTGAGCAACTAGGTAGTGTGATGGATAAAGTGCCAGGCCTAGAGTCAAGAAGATTCATCTTCCTGAGTTCAAATCTGGCCTCAGACACTTACTAGCTATGTGACCCTGTCCAAGTCACTTAACCCTGTTTTCTCATCTGTAAAATGAATGGAAATGGTAAACCACTCCAATATCTTTGCCAAGAAAAACCCAAATGAGGTCACAAAAAGTGGCACATAGCTGAAACAACTGAACAACACAGATCATGATGAAGCCCTTAGTGGTTAATTAAGCATAATGATAATTTCACTCTGAGTAAAGAGATAGAAGAGAATGAAGAAAGAGCAGTAGCAAAGTGGCTGGAATTATCACCTAAATGGTAAGTTGGGGCCAGATCATAGAATCATAGACTTAGAGACCAGAAAGGCCACCCCCCTCATTCTACAGATGAGGAAACTGAAACAGAGAAGTTAGGTGATTTGCCCCGGGTTATACAGCTAATAAGTGTCTGAGACGGGATTTGAACCCAAACATTCCTTATACCAAATCCAGTGCCCTATCTCATTGGAGGTCTTGAAAACCTGGCCGATAAGATTGAACTCTTTTTTCCATAGGCAATGGAAGCCTTGGAAAGAGTCTAAGGAGAGTAATGACATGGTTAAAACTTTGCTTTAGGAAGAGTAATGTGGTAGGTATGCAGAGTGGATTGCAGCAGGACAGTCAAGAGACAGTGAGAGCTTTGGATAGTGGACTGAAACTGGAATAAACATTGAAAAAGAAGTTTGTCTTCTGGCTCTTCTTTTGCTAGATTCCATGCAGACCACTCATCACCCTTCTATTAAGACAAAATTATCTGGGAAAAATATAATATAATTGAGTAGTTTACACCTTTTAAAAAACTATTTACACTTTAGTTTACATTCAAAAAGTGGGTTTTGGGAGTCACCCAAGTCTCATGAATAAGCCATTCATATATTGTGTCTCAGCTGGTCATTTCATTTATTTTATTTTAGTTCTACGTTAGTGGCCAATCTTGTTTGGATCTCTGTATAATCCCTGTACTGTGTTTGGAACTTGGTTCAGAGACAACATGCTGAAGTCGAGTCTGAAGATGGAAATTTCTGCTTGGATTTGAAGTTGTGGGGTTGGCTTTAAAAAAAAATTAAAATAAAATTGTTGAAGGCATGGGAGTGTCTGAAGTAACAAAAGAAGATTGTTTAGAGAAAGTAAAACAAGTACAATTAGCATCTATTTAAGGTCAAATGCCAATTTCATCTACTATGGAGATATTTGTATTGGGAGATAAATGCTTTCCCTCAGAATAATTTACAATGAGAGGCACTGGGATTTTGATAATAATAGAAACTCCTAATGTAACACATTAAACATGCTTTCACTAAGCATTGAGGGAAAATAAAAAACTAATGGATTCCGAGGATCTTACCCTTTGTCATTTTTACCAGCATCCGCTTTGGTGATGTCATCCAGATCTTGTTTTCTTTAAATAATGTAAAACCAGAATACATCAGCAATAATAGGTAGCCACCATATGACTGAATTAAAACCATTCATTTGTTTCCAACAAGTTAAAATGGCTTTATTCAGGAATGATTCAGCTGAATGGAATAAACAATTACTTATATTGCAAACAATTTCAATTGTCTGGATCTTAGTTTCAATTCTCTGGGTCTTTGTATGACAAGAGAGTTACATGAAATGGTCTCAAAGGTGCATTCCTGGTCTAACATTCCATGACCACATCAAGTCTATACTTTCAATGAAGGTCAGCTCTGATGCTTCTCTGTGGCCCAGCAGCAACCTTTTGCTTCTTAAAAACTCCACCAAAGGTAAGTTTTGACAAGTGATATCATAATGGAACAACTTTATATGAAGTAGAGAGAAGCTATGAGGTTGCCAACTGAAATGAGAGCATTTAGAGTTCCTATCAAGAGACTTGAATTTTGCTAACCTTGTATATTTATTTTAAGTCAGTGAGGTGCTTTTGGCCACAGCAATTCACAGAATCATGTATGGGTTGCAATCTGCACCACAGGAAGGAATTCCCAAATCAATGAGATCATAGTTCCATTTGAATATTTAAGTATTTATGGACACATGAAGAGGTTGCAATTTGTATCATTTGAAGGAACATCATTGATAACATCGTAGCTCTTTTGAAATATCAAGTTATGAATTCTATGCCAGACCTCCTTTAGTAGTAATTTATAGCTAGGTTTTAGAACTACCATCTTGTGCTCACTGAAATTACATTAAACTATTTCCAAAAATTACATTAAAAAAACATAGTATTAAAACATATTTCATGTCCAAGTAAATATAGAATTGTGGACATAGGATTTTATACCAGAGCTAAACTACACTTAATTATATATGCAAACAATGTATTGTTTGCCTTTCTGGGCCTCCAAATGGAAAAGGAAGAACCTATATCAATCATCATTCAATAAAGTTCTACCAGAAAAGCATTGAGAAAAGTTTTGTTTCAGCCAAAATAGGTTTATATTTCAAGTACAGTCACAAAATTAAGCATGAAATGGGAATCAGCAAAGTTAAAATGTAGAAACCAGAGTTTCTTTTAACAATTTATGATCAAAGATTATCTTTGGTCTTTTTCTATGTATTTGCCTGGCCTTCTTATATTTTCTACCGATTCTCAAGAAACCATCTTCAACAGTTATTTTTCCTCCAGAGGCTGTGTCTTAATTACAAAGGAAACATTTCCTTTACATGTTCTTTCACTTAAATTATCTTGCTGTGATTAAAGCAATTTCAAATATGCGAGTTGTTCTAATTTCATTTTAAGGACACTGGTGAAGGAATGGATAGCTTAAAATAGGCAATGAAGTTAGAACAAGCCATATGAAATGTAATTCCTTCCATATGGAAGTAAATTCACTGATCCGTGGATATGGTAGGTTAGCCCCTACAGAAGAGATTGGACAAATTCCCAGGATGCCAGGCTACCAAGTGGGGTTTCTAGGGGCAGCAGAGTAGCTAACAGAATATGCTTTGGTGGGAAATTAGTGGATGCTTTCACTAGACATCACAGTCTGGTTTGAATGAAGCAGAGTAACATTTAGTACTTAGCATGGTGTCCCTATTAGCTTACCTATTGTCCTGTCTTGCCTGTGGAGGTGATGGAACTGGAGAATAAGGCCTTGGGAGTGTTAGGGGAAGAGCAGTTGGTTCCCTTTAAAACAAAAATAATCATTTCATTATGCAAAAATGATAATTTTCTAAGGCCATAAACTATACACCTTAATCTTAAGTAGAAATATAACCTGTAACCTAATCCAGCGCTGATCACCAGCACATATGAACATCACTCCATTACAACGTGTAAAAGGAAACAGGGAAGAATCCATAATGGACAAAGCTTGGAAGACATGAGATATTAAGATTATGGAAGGTGAAAAAAAATGCAGTTTTGACTTTTTTTTCTTAGCTGCTTTCAACTCCAACTTGAGGTACAACACATCCTTTAAACAGATTAACACTTCATGAGAATTCTTTGCTAAAGCTTTGGCATACCAGCCTAGTAGCCCATGAGCATGATAAGTAGCACTCAGGTATCAATATATAATCCTCTTGGGTAATTAAGTCAGCTCCTCCAGACTGCTAGGAAAACAGTGGCAAGTGTTTTCAATTCACTGGCTCTCAAGGAAGGATGAGCTAGTGCTCCAAACTAAATCCCTGCCTAAACACTATCAACACAGGAGGCAAATAAATATTGCCAGGTGGAACCTTTGGATACAGCATTAGAATAGTATTAAGAGTAGCATGGTGCAGTGGGTAAGAGTTCTAGCCTTAGAATAAGGACAACACGAGTTTGAAGTCTACCTTGGATATATATTAACTGCGTGACCTTGGGCCAGTAATCAAATTTCCCTGTGCTGTCAGTTTCTTCCTCTGAAAATGTTGAAAATAAATAGTACCTACCTCACAAGGTTGTTGTGAGGATCAAAAGTCTGCATAAAGTTCTATGAATTAGCTATTACTATTATCTGAACCAGCATTGTAACTCCAGAAGATGGTCATGGGCATATTTTATCTCTGATTGGAGCCAGAATCATATTAAAGGCCTAAGAATATGACATGGAGGGGCACAGGTAGTAGTCTAGAGACTAGAAGCTTTTAAATTTGTACACCTAAGGTTGGCTTTACCTATCAATGACTTATATAGTAGTCAAGTACTTAGGTGATTTGAGGAACACTTAGGCTTTCTTGCCTCTATGTATCACCATTCCCAGCAGGCATGGGAAGAATGCCTGAAATTCCACCATTAAAGATTTGTGTCCTTGGGTTAAAGCTTGGCTTTCTTTTAAAAAATGTAAGTGCTTCTGAGAGGGGTGTTTACTTAAAAAGCCATTTTCAATCTTTAACATTTTGATGTGTTCAACAAGTCCCTATGTGCCTGGCACATAGGAGGTGCTTAATAAAGTCAAATTTACTGACTGAATTAATTTGCCAGTGAAACTTCAGGGTTTATCAGCTAACTGATAAGGTGTAGAAGGTGACTAGGGAGTAGGAAGGGTAATTTGTTATTGCACGAACGCCTAAGGGAGGAAGATGAGCGACTAAGATGGCAAGAAGAATTCACAAAGGGGAGATAGTAAGGTGACCTACTTTGCCTATTTCACAGTTTAGTGCAAAGTGTAAGATGATTTATTACAAATCTTCGTCTGCTAAACTTTCAACATTTTAAACAGGCTACATTCTCTACCAGGTGATCAAAATGCTGATGGTAAATGTAGGAAGAGAGAAAATCCCAGAAGAAAAGATAATAATTGGAGGGACTTAGTCCTGGGATGTGTCCAAGAATGACCAGGATAGAAACAATGGTTGTTCAGAGTTGAGAAGGAGGAAAAAGAAGGTTTGACAGGGAAGTAAAATTTTATTCGGCCCTAGGATGCATTTTCACCCCTGCTGGGACAGAGGCCAGTCAATGCCAGGTTTATTTCAACCCACCTCAAAGGGGCCTTCATTTCCATCTATGTGCTGACAAGCACAGATGACAAAACTGAGGAAGTCCAGAGCCAACTGCGAGGGCTCATTCATGCCCTGCCAAGAGCGCAACATGCTGCCAAGCACGGGCGATTTAAATGCAAAAGCAAAGGAGGAAGCTGGTGCTCTGAATGTTTTCGAGAGACAGGAAGAGAGAGGTACTAGGGTAGAATGTTCCTTGCAGACAAATGCTTTGAGAATCCTCCTTTCTTTGTGAACATCGACTTCCCCACCAAGACAGACCCAGGGAGTTCTCTAGAATTATAGCTTCTTGACTAGAGTTGTGCAGAAAACAAAATTTTAAAAACCGATCTAACTGAGCTTTTTACAACGTTCAGGAACAAAAGGCTGTGCTTGATTTTCAGATAAGACAGAAATAAACTCAAAAATCATGACTATTTTGATGAAAATGCTTCCTATTCATTTATCTTAAGCTGCTGAATGATCCTGCCTTTCCTTGTTGATTTCTTTGACCATGACATCAAGACATGCATGGCTATATAAAATAGCTAATTTGATAAAGGAAGTCCTTTTGTTATTTACTACAGCAGAGGGCTTAATTAAACCAGACAGGACTAGATCTCACCTAATGAATTACTCTTTTAGTGTTCAGTTCTTTATCATGTTGTTGTTCAGTTGATTCTTCGTGACCCAGTTAGTGCTTTATCCACTGCACCTCCTAGCTGCTCATATCTTATCATATTTATCTCCAATTTTTAACCAAAAAGAGATATTTTTCCCCATCAGACCAATATGCTTTCAAAGATTTGCCTATCAATACACAAGGTACCTAGTAACATTTGTTTGGTCAATAGACATTTTCAAGGTATTTTTAAAAATATGTATTTATTTATAACAAAAAAAGTCTATATTGATCATAGCACCTATTATCTGAGCATTATGCCAAGTATTATGGGATATACAAAAGAAAAAAAAAACATAGTCTTGGCTTTCAAGGAGTTTGTAACAAGGTTGGAGAGACAAAACATTACAATGTACAAAAAATAATTATAAACTATAATCAGGCCCAGTTAGCTAAGTGCCAAGGTTGTATAAATGCTATAGAAGTCAAAGGAATGATTGATATGCGTTGACCACTCTCTTCCAGATACCCTTCCTTTTCTGAGTTTTTCCGGCAGTATTGTCTCTTGGTTTTTTTCCTACCTATCTATATGCTCCTCATTCTCCTTTGATAGTTATTCATTTATGTCAGGGCAGCTAGGTGATGCAGTGGATAGAACACTGGGCCTGGAGTCAAGTCCTAAGTTCAAATCCTGCCTCAGACACTTAGCTGTATGACTCTGGGTAAGTTACTTAACCTTATTTGCCTCAGTTTCCTCATCTGTAAAATGAGTTGGAGGAGGAAATGGCAAACCACTCCAGTATCTTTGCCAAGAAAACCCCAAATGGAGTCATGAAGCATTAGACATGGTTGAAACAACTGAATAACACAATGATCTATTGTTATTACTATTACTGCTTTTCCTTCAATTCTTTGCCTGGCATCTGGGATGAGGAATAGGGGGAGGAAATCAGCATAGTTAAGAGGGTGTGCACACACACACACACACACACACACACACACACACACACACACACAATTGTCAACTCCAGATGTGAAGTGGAAGGTGTAGGGTGGATCTCTATTGACCTCATCTGCTAGGTGAAAAGCCTCTGTCCCTGGAATAAGGGAAAGAAGAGATTGTTTTTAAAGAAAGGTGTAATAAAGATTACCCTTTCTCAGTTTTCTGTTAATGACTAATTTAACCTTTTATAGTAGAATTTTTGGCCAACCAACAATGTTATCTCATAATAATGATTTGATTCTCATGGAAATAGTACTCCCTATAATGATGTTTCACCAGCACGGCGGTTTTGCAGAACCAGTTAATACACTAAATAGAATATGCCTTTATAGCAAATACTAAGGACTCCCAAACTCCATGTTGGATTACTTGGGTCTTTTCAGACTGGAAAATTGGTCATTGGCTGCTGAATTATTTTAAGGCTTTTTGACAAGTTGGCAAGAAAAGTCATCTGTTATTCAACAATCTCGTAACCCCTTTTGGAAACCTATCAGGCAGGATCACTTGCCATTAGAGGCAGGGTTTCTTTTTTTTTATAACAAAACTATATTAAGAGTTTTCTCAATGTGCAGATCAACTGTTATTTTGCCTTGTTCATGCAAAAATCAGTGAAATTCAGCTCTTTCCATCTGTCTCAGTTCCTCTCAGAAAGGCCAATAAACTAAAGTTCAAAATATCGGAAGCCAACATTGCTCATTATTGTTAAATAATGGAGGGCAAAAGCCTGTATCCTCAAACATATAAGCTCCATACATCTGTATGTAAGAAGACAGCTTTTGTGTACAAAAATGAAGGAAGGAGCTGTTGAGGTATTGCAAGACTTTTCAGTCCAAGGAAACAAGAAAGCATCAGATTTTTAAAAAAATCAGAACGTGGTAGAGTTGAACAAAAATAGTGCTGATAGTTAATAGATCTGGGTTTTAGACTTAGTTATTTAACAAATTTGCTGTCTTATTTCTTTTATATTCTTGGTTTTCTCATCTAAAAATGAAGTAGTTCATTTTTCCCTAGTTACTTTCCAACTCTTAAATTTAGTAATTCTGTTTGTAAGCTGGGAACTGCATTTATTATGCCTACAGGACTAAAAAGAGATGTTCTCAATACCAACATGTGTTAGCATATTAATTTGATGATTCTGAGTCATCTTCCATGCATAAAATTATTTTTAAAATGTAAAACCAAAATGCACATGTATTTGTAAACACTAAAATAATTATTGCAAAAGTTAATGAATAATCTATGAATACAGTAAAATATGAATACAAAACTCACTATTACAGTATCCAGTTTTACTAACAGATTTTATCTCAGGACCTTTTTATTCATAAAACATTATAAGTTAATGCAAAACAGATTTCAGTTGAACAAGTAAATAATAAAATTTTCACTCATTACACTACTAGATTTATAAGTGGATGGTACCCAAAGGGTTAACAATGTTAAAGTTATATGGAAAGGGTTAGTTGGTTTTGTGGTGGTGGGGTTTTAAGCATCATTTATAGCTTACAGTCAAAAAATAGCTGCAGAGCAAGGTTGTCATGGCAACTCACAAATCAATCAAGCATTTTTCTTTTAATTGTCCACCAATCAGCTAACTGTA